AAGAAAAATATAAGACTTACCCCTCCATCGAAATAGTCATTGTCTTCGACCCCTAATAATACGCCCCACCAAGACTGATCAAGCAACAAATAGATATCATCGTTGAGCTTGCATATGTCAGTGAAACACCCCTGGCTCCGCTCATGTAGATAAAAATCAACTGCGGTCTTAGCCCAAAGGGTGTTATCCAGAATTGTGTCCGGTAGTTGTCTCATCTCCACTTCAGATACCGGTATGGTATTGGCCGGTAACTCATACGAGTGCCAACTTGAATCCACCATGTCCGACACGTCAGAGGGTTTCTCAAGAATCCTACATATAACGCCATGTGAATCGGGCTCTTGAATGGTGGGAGGGACCTCTTCAACGATGACAGTGACCTCTGAACGGTGGGAGGGGACTCTCGAGGAATGATAAGGGCCTCTTCAACGATAGGAGTGGACTCTTGAGGGATGACAGGCGAGTCGGGCTTCTTCTTGCGGTGTCTTCGCACTATTGGGGTTTACGGAGACTTAATAGCACGTGCACGCCGTCTGATGCGTGAACTCTGTCGTGCAATAAAAACCCGACGTAAAGCATCCACCTTATCGGTCCGCTAAATAATTAAATACAAATATCAGTAAATAAACAGATATGATATTTAAACAGTGAAAACAAAGACAAATATGTTTCAAACTTGCATTGAATTCACCCAAGTAATTATTCTATCATAGTTCACAAAATGCATCAGATAACAAAGGCAAATATGTTTCAAACTTGCAACATTGTCAACTTAGTATTTGTCTTTGTCTATTGGTTGAAGTAATGCAATTCATTCAAGTTTCAATTTGCAGAAGAAGAATAGTTTCAATTGGCAGCAAATGAACAAATTTACTTTCAACCAAAAGATAAAACAAAAGACAACTACTAACTTCACAGTGTTAATAAACAGTTTAGCAGTATTGGCAGCAACCGAATAAATTTACTAAGCAATCTAAGTGAAATGGTTAATCTAAGTGAAATTACGAGTAAATTTATCATCAAGTTAAATATGGAAAATCTTAAACTTACCTCGTTGCGTAGAGTATGAACCTCATTCTGCAACGATACTACCATCTCACGTAGAGCGGCAACCTCAACACATAAAGTAGACACCTCCACACGCCATGCCCCATCGTTATCGCATAGAGTACCGATCTCCTCACGCAAGGCATTGACCTCATCACGTAACTCCCTTGACTCATCCCGTGGAGGTGGAGAACAGGGAGATAGAAGTCGTGGCATCTTTGTCGGTCGCCTATCATGAGGTGATGGTGGAGATGAGGCTCGATGATGTGACGGGATAGGTGATGGCTCTCGTTGTAGAGGTGTATAGTCGGGTCGATCAGGTGATGGGTCTGGGTGAGGTGATGGCTCTCGAAGTGGAGGAAATGGAGGCTGCTCATCGTTCATGCCATCAAAAAAACGCTGACTAGCTTGCCACTAATCAGTGGCAAGCTCAGCCTCCGTGGGTGTCAGTCTCATTAATGGAGTGTTGGCCTCCTAAAAATATAAAAACTCAAACAAAGTTAAATGTCTACTATTAATAACTTGTTTATATATGATAGTATTTGTGTTAACTTACATTATTTATTGTCACATATGGTATTAAGTCTTCCCAATCCAACAGACGTTTCCTCTTCCAGGAAATAGCCCTAGGAACATCATTTGAGGTTTTTAATGCATATGTCCGCATGCTGGGGAAAGCCTCGAATATCCAAATCTACAAACAATATAATAACAAACATTAGTAATTGTTAAATAATTAATTATAATTTTGAAAACATTATATAGAAATTCTTACCTTAAAGGCCCAAACAAAGCCTGACAAAGTGTATTTCGACCCATCGCCCCGCAAACTTTTGCGGTCATCAAAGGCAGACGACAACTTAGTCCAGGTAGCTTTCCATATATACGAACCCCACAGAAACAGATTCCATGCATTTAGGTCCTCTACCAATAATATTAGCTCCTGAGGAATAGGTTGTCTGGCCTCTCTGCCTAAAAAGCCGGCATACAAAAGTAGTAGAAGGCATAATCGGACAACATCGACGTCATTCATCCGAGTAAAACCATCTTTTTATTAAACAATTTCTTCATGTCGTCGACGTGTAAGTTCGGCTTCTCTATTGACTCATCAGGAAAAACCCTGGATAACCATGATGGGCGGGTGATATGACGAGTGTACCGGCCTACATCATCGTGTCCAAATCGTAGACCAGTGATTAAGCAGAACTCCTTCCGCCCAAAACAAGTATACTCCGGTGGAAAATAAAACCATATCTCTTCCTCACCACGTTGTATACTGTCGGGTAGATCGCTAGTCATGGTCTGAAGCCACAAATGGGTCAAATTAACATCTCCACCCGGATGTTGTACTCTCAGCCATGGCCCGAAGCAGGTTTCCTCAAACAATTTTCTTTGTGCAGGTGAAAGCTTCGAAGCAATTGTAGTGGCTAGGCTAACTTTATTCCTTAATGTTAATGAAGCCGAAAAAAATTTCTACAAAAACAATAAACATACCAAGTTAGATATACCAAAAACTACACTGTGAAGATATACCAAAAACAATAAACATAAATAGTAGTTTATTCTTGAAACTAAAATTTGCAACACTGTTTTATCTTTTGGTTGAACTGAAAATCGCAACGAGAGAATGAAAATCGCAACGCGAAATGAAAATCGCAACGAGATAATCGCAACGCGAAATGAAAATCGCAATCATTTCGCGTTGCGATTATCTCGTTGCGATTTTCATTTCGCGTTGCGATTATCTCGTTGCGATAGTCATTTCCGCGTTGCGATTTTCATTCTCGAAACTATTCTTCTTCTGCATTACTTCAACCAAAAGACAAAACAAAGACAAATACTAACTTCACAAGGTTAAATACTAAACAGTTTAGCAGTATTGGCAGCAATCGAATGAATTTAATAAGAAATCTAAGTGAAATGATTAATCTATTATTGAAATTACCAGTAAACTTATCATCAATTTCAATATGAAAAACCTAAAATAATGCAAAAATTTCAAAATAAAAATAATTAAAAAAACTAACCATCGGAGGTTGATTTTCCATTTCTGAATGATTGTGAGGGATTTCTGACCGTGAATGGTTGTGAGGGATTTCGCCGGCGATGGGGACAGAAATCTTCGGAGATGGGGACGGATTTCGCCGTAGAGAGTGAGAGATGGAGATGGGACTGAGTGTTGTGATTTTAGGTTTGAGGTTATGAGTTGTGATTACTGTGGACGGTTCAGTTTCTGATATATTAAGAAAAAATTTGTGTTTGGAATTTGAAAAAAAATACGCGTTAATACGAATGGCGCTATGTAAATCGCATTGCGATAGTCAGATTCGCATTGCGATTTACGTATTTGCATTGCGATTTTCCTAATTCGCATTGCGATTTACTTAATCGCGTTGCGATTTACGTATTCGCATTGCGAATTATGAAAATCGCAACGCGAATACGTAAATCGCATTGCGATTTTGTATTATCGCGTTGCGATAGTCAGTATCGCATTGCGATTTTCTAAATTCGCAATGCGAAATTGGAAAATCGCATTGCGATAGTAATAATCGCGTTGCGAATCTGGAAACTGATTTGCGATAATGGAGATCGCGTTGCGAATTAGCGATCGCATTGCGATTTTGTTGGTCATTTTGGCAAATCCGAAAAAAATTGGTTAAAATCGTATATTATATGGGATTTTTGGTCACTGAGGTTATTTTCTCAAATTTTAATTATATATATATTGTTTGTAAATCTAAAATAATTTAAGGATAAATTTGTAATTTAACCTTCGTGGAATTTTTATTATTCAATGACATAAGAATGATATTTTTGAAAAAAAATAAAAATTTAAGGGCATTTTAGTCCAAAACATCGGTAATGTTACAATACCTAAGGGAATGGAGGTAATGACATTCCCGGTAATATACCCTAAAAAATCTACTATTGATAATAAAACATTACCAAAAATAAGATTCCCAGCCAACCAAACATGAGAATGTGGGATTCCCATTTCATGGTAATCCACAATCATTAAACCAAACACCCCTAAAAGTGCGGCTCACGTGATCCAAAAGCCAATGCAAACTACTTCGATTTTTGAGCCCTCTAACCTAACGGCTTTGGTGCCGCTGAATGTTCTAAAGAGAAAAATCTCGGTCCTCACTCTCAATCAAGCAGGTGTAATCTAGTGTCTTCGTCAACAAGCTTCTCTCAGTCAACAGTAAAAACCAGATTCCACAAACAGCGGCTCTAGCTACCTTTCCCCTTTGCTTTTCGCCCAAGGTAAATTTGTACTGTAGTTTGATCATTTGAAGGTAAAATTATGAATATAAGATTATAGTTTTAATTCTCTACATTTTGATATAATTTACCTCTTATTATTAATATACTATGGTTTGAATATTATTCAAGCATATAAATAAATAACGTTAAGTCAACAGGTAAATCTAATAATAGGTGACCAAAACATAAATAAGAGAGTGAATGGATGTCAAAATAGATAATTGAGTAAATTATATCAATCATCACTGAATTTTACTTTTTCTTCTATTTCACTCACTATACTTTAAATATGTTCAATTTTCTCATTGAATTTAACATAAGTACATTTTTTGTCATTCTTCGTTAAATATTTAACGGCATTTAAATAATGTTGTTTTAGAAAAACAAAATTTTTACCAAGACGACCTCGTGTTACATCTATATAACAACTCATTTATAACAATATTTTGTGAGAAAACAACTGAGTGACAAAAAATGTAATTATGTTAAATTCAATGAGGAAATTGAACGGATTTAAAGTACAGTGAATGAAATAGGAGAGAGAGTAAAGTTCAGTGATGATTGGTGTAATTTAATCTAAAAATATGTTAAAATTAAATGTAATGCTAATATATACAGATTTAATTATATATAACTATTATTTAAATCTCTTGTCACGTGACATTTCACCAACCAATTTGTTTTAAATAGCCCCTTGTATTGCCTCTTCGTCTCACCGCTAAATCTCACTCTAAAATCCTCAGCTTAGCTCTAAGCTCTTCGATCTCAGTTCTCCTGCTTTCTTCGTTGTTATCGCCAATGGGTAATTTACTTCATTTCCATTTCGTTTTGTTAATTCATTATTTATCAATTACTCGGTACGATATTTCTGTTAATCGTTCGTTTGACTCGATTTGAGCAGCTTCAGAGAAGAAGATCAAGATCGGGATTAACGGTAATCATCGGATCTAGTTATGTTACTTCGGTTTTAGAAGCATTTAAACTTTTTTCACGAGGTTTTGATATTTCTTTGGTTTGATGCTTAGGATTTGGAAGAATCGGACGCTTGGTTGCTAGAGTAGCTCTTCAGAGGAACGATGTTGAACTCGTTGCCGTTAATGATCCCTTCATCACCACTGATTACATGGTAACACCTGATTTAATCGAGTGGTTAACTTAAAAGATCAAAAAAGCTGTGATTTAAACACTATAATTGAGATTTTGTTTTTTTTTAATTTACTCGATGGGAAAAATGCAGACATACATGTTCAAATACGACAGCGTTCACGGTCAATGGAAGCACCATGATGTTAAGGTCAAAGACTCTAAAACCCTTCTCTTCGGTGAAAATCCTGTCACCGTATTCGGAATCAGGTAAAAATAATGGACACACGTCACAAAATAAGGGGGGGGGGAACTCATTTCTAAGCTTGCTTTTGGTTATATTTTTAAGGGTTTTAAAAATTGCATGTCATGATTTAGAAATCCCGAGGAGATTCCATGGGCCGAGGCCGGAGCTGAGTTTGTTGTTGAGTCAACGGGAGTGTTCACCGACAAGGACAAGGCTGCTGCTCACTTGAAGGTTCCTTGAAAAAAATATTGGGTTTTTGTTATTTGTTCTTGATAAATAGATGGAAGCTTGAATGGTATATTGTTTGTTTTCAGGGAGGCGCAAAGAAGGTTGTGATTTCTGCTCCAAGCAAAGATGCCCCTATGTTCGTTGTCGGTGTGAACGAAAACGAATACAAGCCGGAGCTTGACATTGTTTCCAATGCAAGCTGCACTACCAATTGCCTTGCTCCCCTTGCCAAGGTTATCCATGACCGATTTGGTATTGTTGAGGGTCTCATGACCACTGTTCATTCCATCACTGGTAGCTTACTTTACCCTGTTTTTAATGACTTTTTTAATGGCTTGATGCTGGTTTTTACTAGAAATTCTTTGGGTTTCAGCCACACAAAAGACAGTTGATGGTCCGTCGATGAAGGACTGGAGAGGTGGTAGAGCTGCTTCCTTCAACATCATTCCCAGTAGTACTGGTGCTGCCAAGGTACTTGTTCGGTCTGATTCAGCTCTTAATCTTTAAATTATCCGACCACTGACCAGATCTGTTAAATATATGCTAGTTTAACTGATCTTTAATATATGCATTCCCTGATATTGTGTATAAATAGGCTGTTGGAAAGGTTCTCCCTGCCCTCAATGGTAAATTGACTGGAATGGCTTTCCGAGTTCCTACAGTTGATGTATCAGTTGTTGATCTCACTGTTCGGCTTGAGAAATCTGCATCTTATGACGAGATCAAAGCCGCAATCAAGTAAGTTCCGTAGTAATCTCTCCTGAGGACTGAATCACTGTCTTCATGCTATTATATGTCGATTTCTGACCCGCTGTTCAAATATTCAGGGAGGAGTCGGAGGGTAAGCTCAAGGGAATTCTTGGTTATATTGAAGAAGACATCGTCTCCACAGACTTTGTTGGTGACAGCAGGCAAGTCGAGGCGATATATCCTGTTGTATTTATGTCATAGGACTGGCATGTGTGAACAATAAGCTTATGTTTGATCTTGTTCCGTGCCCAGGTCGAGCATATTCGATGCCAAGGCTGGTATTGCTCTAAGCAAGAACTTCGTGAAACTCGTCAGCTGGTATGACAATGAATGGGGTTACAGGTAATGAAAGGCTGAGCCATTTTTCTCTCTCTCTCTCTTCGTTTGAAACCTATGGCCTTTTGAATTGCGGGTTATGGTGAACATGACAACCCCCTCTCATGTTTTGTTTTGCAGTTCTCGAGTGATCGACTTGATTGTTCACATGGCATCTACCCAAGCTTAAATACGATCGATCATGTCTGGGGGTGTTTTGAAGCTGCAAATAAACCTGAGATTTTACCTTCTTGGATGTTTCCATTTCTGCGTTTTTGAATTTGAAATCAATGTTTCAATGGCTTTGGCTCCTTCTTCGATATATTGAAGATGTAGTATAGAACCGAATGGTCAATGAAATTTCTGTTGTTGCTTTTTGTTTTCAGCATTTGCCCACTCTGCCATTTGAATTCCTATTTATTTAGAGAATTTATTTTATTCCCTAAAACCATTGTCATTATCCCGCCGATAATCCATCATCATCAATCCTCAATCCTCAATTCTCAATTCAGCTCTGTTCATCATCCATTGATGACTAGTTTTACCCTCAGCTATAACTCATAACCTCATTAGTACCCAACATTCAACTCAAACCCCAGAAACCAATAAGAGAAAATCAATAAACAACTCAAACCCCAAAAAAATGAATGAACAATAAGAGAATATCAATAAACAATCAAACCCCAAAAAAATGAATGAACAATAAGAGAATATCAATAAACAACTCAAACCCGAGAAACCAATAAACAATAAGAGATGTTATGCTCTGTCATCATGAAGACATTACTCTTTGCTTAAGGTTTGACTTGGTCAATCTGGTTTATGTTTAGAAGGGTTTATGATAAACACTTTTTTACCAAAATATCACCTGTACCACCAATAATTACCTCCATACCAGTCAGGCACCCTCACCCTAATATTATTGATCTAACGTCTTTTATGACATGGTGGTAATAAAGCGCGGATCGCCATCCGCGCCTTCAAGATGTTCTGTCCGAGCTGGCGTCACGTAAGACGATCTGCACCTTCGCGGGTTCTGTTTGGGTTCTGTTTGAGCTGGCGCCACATAAGGAAAGACGCGCATGGCGATTCGCGCTTTCGCGAGATTTCTGACACATACGGAAGGCGCGGATCATAATCTGCATCTTCTATTATACACGTTGAATTATTGATACTCCATAATTACCCGAGCCTGAAAGCTCGAGTTTTAAACCCGCCATCTCTCCTATAAATAAGAACCTCTCTTAATGCAAACATTACCAAACTAAAATTACTTGTTTATTCTCGTTTCTATCAATTCCTTCTATCAAGTAGATTTTGTTATTATTTTTATAAGATAAAATTATTTTTTATTATATTATATTATTTTATATTTAATTATTTGAACAAAATTTATTTTACTAATTATTTTGTATAATTTTTGACGATTGTAAAATTAAAAAACGGGATAATACCTCGACACATTTTACCGATACGGCAACAATATAAAATTATTTATTTAAATTATTGTGATTTTTTTTAATTTTTTAATTAGTTTATATTTTAATTTATATATTATTTATTTAATTAGATGTATTTCAACTATTTTTTTACAGATATAAGACTATTAGTCTTTAAAACTCTCAAAATGACACGTATTTTAATTATTATTTACTATGATGGAGAAATTTGAGAAGATGAAACCGATGTTGTCTTCTCATCAAATTATTTTGTCATAATATCCGTCAAGAGAAACATCACTGTTGGAGTTGATAACTAAAATTCTAAGGAAGTAATAAAACTAAAAAAAGAGAGAAATTAAGGAACAAATGACCCATTCAGCAGGCAAAACTTTCGAGATAATGTTCTGGAAAAAATTAATTCACGAGATAAAGCATTCCCAAGATTAATTGCTCAAATAAGGTGAAATCAACAGTGTTGGCCGTAGGTCGCCATGCCTTCCGGGCGACCTACTAGGTCGCCATGTCTTCCCGGCGAGCTACAAGAGATTGCATGTGCCATGCACGTCCCAACACGCTGGGCATCCGAGGCCATCCGACCGAGGCCATCCGAACGAGCTATGCGAGGGCATCCGAGGGCAACCGAGCGAGCTATGCGAGGGAATCCGAGGGAAGCCGAGAGAGGGTAGGTCGCCCGGAGTGCATGGCGACCTACAAGGTTGCCCGGAGGGCATTGCGACCTATGTGTTGGGACGTGCATGTGCCATGCAACACGTTCATTCTCTCTGTTTGAGCAAGGGTAGGTCGCCCGGAGTGCATGGCGACCTACGGCCAACACCGTGGATTTTACCCTATTTGAGCAATTAATCTTGGGAGTGCATTAGCTCGTGAATTAATTTCTTTCAGAACATTATCTCGAAAGTTTTGCCCATTCAGCATGAAAAAGTTGTTATTTTTAAAAAAAGTATGAAATCAAAAACCATCTTTGGATAATCGTTAAATGTCCTTCATCTTTGATGTCTTAAATCCAAAGACCAAGAATTTGTGTACCTGTTGTGATCCATCTTCTCGCACACATCCACTGCAAAAACTGCAGAACCGTACATGGCACCCAATTTCCAAAGCTGATTCATAAGGGGGAAATTTCCAGTCCAAGTTAGAAGATGCAAGAACAGCAAAAAACGTTAAAACAAAACTATTAGAGCTTGTATATTAGAAACCAACCAGAAATTAGCATTGCCAACAAGTTGGTGTGTTGATTGCATTGAATATACCATCAACTGTTATACTAATATTTCTTGACATCAGAGTAGAAACAGACGAGTACTTCATAACGATATTGTTTTTCTTATTAAAAACTATAGAAACAGAAATTTGGCAAATAAAAGATCAGGCAAATCAAAAGGAATATTGTCGATGCCATCACCTTCTGAGCATATACTTATTTTCTCATCTAAACAAACCATAATGCATATTTTCACACAAATAACTCATAGCTTCATAAGATAATTTGGAAAGGAAGCACATAACTAATATCTTAACCTAACCATTTATGATAATTCCAACCTTAAGATCCTGCAAGGGATTCGATAGCTCAATGCTATTTGCCACAGTCGGAGGCGGGAGTGGGTCACGTGGAGGAGTGACGGAAACATATGATCCGTCGGAGTCTGAATCGCAATCCATGTGTGTCAATTGAGTAACGGCGACAGAGTAGAGGCGGTGAATGGCTGAGATGCGGAGAGTTCAGTCGCTTTACGGTTTTTAGCACTAAATATTTGCTGCCTAGCGATGTTTACTAAATGTCTGAATTACCCTTGAACTTAGGCATTTCTGAATCTTTGTTTCAATGGTTCAGATTAGATTGTTTTAAAATCGAACGATTGAAAGAAAACGAAATCGGATAAAACCGCTAACGGTCATCTTATGCATGTTTACAGCTTTGCCCCGTTGCCGCCTTTCTCAAATTAATTCCTATTAGAATTAGTAGGGCCGTAAACGAACCGAACGCACACGAACGGAGGTATGTCTATGTTCGTTCATTTAAATAAACGAACAATTTTTTTTATTCATGTTCGTTAATTAAAGAATATAGCTTGTTCATATTCATTCATGTTCGTTCATTTAAATGATAAACGAACGTAAACGAACGCAAACGAACAAATATAAACGAACTTAATAAATGAACATAAACAAATACAATAAACGAACATAAACGAATAACACAAACACAAAAAACAAACTTATTCGAACACAACAAATGAATGTAAAAAAAAAGTAAACAACAAGAATAACAACTTAAAATTCATTAATATAACCTGCAACTTTAGAGTTAATTTGTTCGAATACGAAAAAAAACATACATAAATCATAAATAAGCTATATGAACATAATAAAGTCTTAAAGTTAATTTGTTCAACAAAACAATCTTCTTGAAATCCAAACAACTTCAAAAATCTTCGTAACATATTCAACTTGCCTTCAGTTCGAACATAAATGAACATAAATGAACGAACATATAATCGAACGTTCACAAAAGTAAATGAACGAACGAGCACTATGTTCGTATTCGTTCATTTAATTAAACGAACGCAAAATCTTGTTCATGTTCGTTCATTTAATAAATAAACGAACATAAACGAACTTCTCGCCGCACGGTTCATGAACGGTTCGCTGAACGTTTAGTTCATTTACAACCCTAAGAATTAGTAGCCCTAAGAATTAGTCGCCCTGCTTGTCGTTCATAATTCAAAATCCCTTTACTTTTAACTCAAGAAAGCTTTTTTTCTACTTGCCCATACTCCATCGGAAAAACAAAACAAAAGCTTGATTTGTTCTACCTTCTGGGTTGCAAATTAGAAAAAAAAGAATCTATGCTTCTGAGTTGCAAATTAGAAGAAACGAATCTGTGCTTCTGAGTTGCAATTACACAGAAGAGAAATATGGTTGAACTACTAAGCCGCGATGATTTTATGTACGTTGATCCCAATGGAGATCGCTTTGAATGGTTGCTTCAAATAGCCAAATTTGAGGAAGATAAACTGCAGGAAAACCATGATGATGTCCATTCCAAGGGTTTCGAGTACAATGCACGGCTACACGAGTCTCTTTGCGGGAAAGAAAACATGGGGTTCGACAACAATGCTGGGAAGAAACCGAAACGCAAGTTGAAAGAAGAAGACGGTGATGGGGAATGGGGAAGTGGACTGAAAGCCAAGTTGAAGAGAAGCAAGAAACAAAAATCTTAATCCTCAATCCCAACACCCGACATGCCGGACAGATTCAAACTGCGCATACTTGAAAACATGAATGGTTCGGGTTTGATTCTAGTAATTCAAAAGACCCTCTTTTCTTCCGACGTTAACCATACCGCCAGCCGCTTCTCCGTACCCTTCTCGCAAGTCAGAAGTCACGACTTTCTCACGAAAACAGAGGCTGATGACTTGGCTCACAAAAAACCAATGCAAGTGTGCTTCTTGGATCCATCGATGAAGAAAAGTACAATGACTTTTAACAGGTGGTGGAAGATGAGGAAGAACTCCCTCTACGTGATGATCGAATCGTGGAACTCAGTAGTGGAGAGCAACAAACAGAAGAAGGGTGAGATTGTGCAACTTTGGTCTTTACGGGTGAATTCAAACTTATGCTTCGCATTAGTTAGAGTCTAAGATCCAACACCAGAAGTTGAGGTTAACAAGAACAATGCACATGTGTTTTAGGTTTTGGATTTACAAGTATTTTGCTTTTCAATAATGGACAATCGTTATTTCTTTTTCTATAACCAAGAATGTTTGATCATCTCAGTTACTGTAATTTTTCAGATTACAAGAATATTCTTTTGTCGCATCTTAAACTGAAGTTCTTCAATATATGAGAACATTGTTGAAATTGTCGCGTCCGATAAGATTGTGCAACTCAGGTCTTTCCAGATGATTCAAAGTTAAGCTTCGTACTTCAACATAATAAGATTCACGTTAACAAGTATATGTGCAGGCTTCTCTTATTTTTTTTCTTTCTTTCCAAAATCAAGAATGTTTGGTTATTTTAACTATTGTAGTTATCAGATGTGTCTGCCAAATTAAATGGAGGTCTACTGCCTTGCATCAATCCCAATAAATAAGCCTTAAGGAAGTGTTATATTAAAGAGAACGAACGTGATACTTTTTTTCTAATCAATTCAATATCATTTGCAAACACTTACGATATGGTATGAGGACGTGTATGAATGTCACAGTTAGTTGAACAATCAGTCCACATGTGTAGTATAATGGAGCTTGCAGCTTCACTCGATACCAATAATCATTTCAAAATAGAACAATTTGAAGGTTAGCGTTCGTACACTAAGAATAATACGTTCTTACACACACACACACAGAGTTTTAGTCCATAATGAGCAATTGCAACATGACTAGATTTCGTGCCATTCACGGTAAAGCTGCTGTTCCCTTGTCCGTGCGCAGAAGGTTGAGAAAAGGATTGTCGAAGATCCCTTTCCACCAGCGCTTTAACGCATTTATCTCGAAACACTTTGCATACTCTCCGTAGCTCGACATCAATAGTGTCGGCTGTGAACCTCACCCCATTTTGTTGCATCCCAATGCTAGGATGAATGGTTTGCCCTCGGAGACACATGTTGACCACGAGCACCTTTGGTACTGCTTGCTGCTTGGGTTTTTGGAACGGAAATCGCCGCTCTGAACTCTGCCGTTAAAAAGGTTTTTGCATCAGAAACATGGGTTCTGGAATCTATGCTATGAAGTAGGGTATGCCAAATGAAGCAGCTGCTACTGAGCAGAAGAGAAGTACTACAATTAGTGAGGTTGAATCATTAGGATTCGATATACATTCGAAGGAGCAGTTTGATCGGCTTGGTGCATTATGAGACGGTATCTCCGGAAACCAAATGGAAGAACGATATTCCGCTGTTAGAGAGGCCCTGTCATTGGGAAAGGAAGAGGATGCGAGGACATATAAACCCTGCATCCACACAAGCAAAATGACTAGCAGTTTCTAAGAGCATAACGTTAAATGGCATTCAATCGATAATTGTATGTTTATATTTCCATCGAACATCTGTCTAGATCAAAGAACATATAATGTTAAATGAGACATTAACTCGAAACATTTTGACCCCAAACATTTTTTCAGCTTTGACTGCCTTGTTTTCTCCCATCAAGGCAGCAGCTTGGAGCAATACAGGCCATAAAAGGAGGAGAAAATAAGCATACATTTTACTGAAATCAAAAACCATCTTTGGATAATTGTTAAATGTCCTTTATCTTTGATGCCTTAAACCCAAAGACCAGGAATTTGTGTACCTGTTGTGATCCATCTTCTCACACGCATCCACTGCAAAAACTGCAGAACCGTACATGGCATCCAATTTCCATAGCTGATTCATAAGGGGGAAATTTCCAGTCCAAGTTAGAAGATGCAAGAACAGAAGAAAATGCTAAAAGAAAACTATTAGAGCTTGTATATTAGAAATCAACCAGAAATTAGCATTGCCAACAAGTTGGAGTGTTGATTGCATTGAAAATATCATCAAGTTGGAGTACTTCATAACTTAGAGGTGGAAAAAGGCTGCTTTATATCCAGATTGTTTTTCTTATTAAAAAACTATAGAAACAGAAATTTGGCATACAAAAAACCAGGCAAATCAAAAGGAAGCACATTTTCTCATCTAAACAAGCCATAATGCATATTTTCACACAAATAACTCATGGCTTCATAAGATAATCTAGAAAGGAAGCACATAAACTAATGTCTTAACCTAGCCATTTATGATAACTCCAACCTTAAGATCCTGCAAGTGATTCGATAGCTCAATGCTATTTGCCGCAGTCGGAGGCGGGGGTGGGTCCCGCCTATTAGTATTGGGCTTTTGATGGGCATTTTTGTTAGTATATTTATTTTAAGATTAGCCTCTTTTAACATTGAAACCGACTCGAGCATCTAACTGTGATCTTAAGCATGTTCACTTCTTTGCCGCCTTTCTCTGCCTGCCTTTTTACCGTTAATGAACTTTAATTCCTACTAGAACTAGTAAGCCTCAAAACGCACCCTGCCCGACGTTCATAATTCAAAAACAAAATTACTTTTCTCTCAAGAAAGAAAATTCCCCTTACTTTTAACTCAAGAAAGTTTTTTTTTCTTCTATTTATACACCGACTCCATTGGAAAAACAAAACAAAAGCTTGTTTTGTTCTAACTTCTGAGTTGCAATTAGAAGAAAAGAATTTGTTCTTCTGAGTTGCAATTACAAAGAAAAGAGAATGGTGGAACTACTGAGCCGTGATGATTTTAACCACATTGATCCCAATGGAGATCCTTTTGAATGGTTGATTCAAATAGCCAAATTTGAGAGAGAGAAACTGCAGGAAAACCATGATCATGGCCATTCCAATGGTTTTGAGTGCAATGCACAGCTGCCTGAGTCTCTTTGCAGGAAAGAAAACATGGGGTTCGACAACAATGCTGGTAAGAAACCGAAACGTAAGTTGAAAGAAGAAGATGGTGATGGAGAATGGGGAAGTGGACTGAATCTGAAACCCAAGTTGAAGAGAATCAAGAAACAGAAACCCCAATCCTCAATCCCAACACCCGACATGCCGGACAGATACAAACGGCACATACTAGAAGACATGGGTGGTTCGGGTTTGGTTCTAGTGATTGAGAAGACCCTCTTTTACTCCGACGTTAATCACACCGCCAGCCGCTTCTCCGTACCCTTCTTGCAGGTCAAAAGTCACGACTTTCTCACAAAAACAGAGGCCGATGATTTGGCTCACAAGAAACCAATGCAAGTAAGCTTCTTGGATCCATCAATGGAGAAAACTACAATGACTTTTAATAAGTGGAATATGGGGAAAAGCTCACTCTACGTGATGACCGAATCGTGGAACTCGGTAGTGGAGACCAACAAACTCAAGAAGGATGAGACTGTGCAACTCTGGTCTTTCCGGGTGAATTCAGAGCTTTGCTTCGCGTTAGTCAGAGTCTAAGATCCAACACCAGAAGATTGAAGTTAACAAGGACAATGCACATGTGTTCCAAGTTTTGAATTTACTAGTATTTTGCTCTTCAATCATGGACATTCGTTATTTCTTTTTCTATAACCAAGAGTGTTTCGTTATTTCAGTTGCCGTAAATTTTCAGATTACAAGAATGTTCTTTTGTCGCTTCTTAAACTGAAATTCTTCGATATATCAGACCATTGTTGAAACTGAAAATCCCTATACCTGTAATGAATGATAACACACTCGAGAGGAACATGGTGCCGCTGGGAATGACGTTTAAAGAAGAATGTTTTGATATTTAACATGATACATTAAATTTAATCATTTTCTCAAAATAATGTGAACACTTAACTCTTAGAAGACTTAATGTATCCCATGTATTTGCTATCATCTTTGTCATTTTATTTGATTTGTTGTGTCATGCACGATGTAGTGAAGCAAAAAGAGTCGAGGGATTGTCGGTGTTTAGATTGTTAAGATTGAGATAAACGACAATGAGTATATGGGTTTAGGTTTTGATAAGCTATATGTGTCGGCTGACGACGACGACACTAATAGTTTTATCAATGATGATGGTTAGTGTTAAGATTAAAGAAGAAATATTTTGGGAGATTTAAGATTTTATTTTTTATTTGAAGAGTGCAAAACATAATAAAAATTTTAAATTTCACGAATCAAATTAGAAATTAATTATTTTAATAACATATTCCGTCACTAATGATTGAACTAATGAAAGTTAACAACTCAATAATTAAATCAACGATTAAAATGTAACGAACTAACAAAATAAGTTATTGAAATGTTATTTTTTTTTAAATTGATAACCAAAATAAGATAGACAAAAAACATTATCCAAGAAAATGGCGTGGGCCTCTTGGGTCTCTAAAAGCTTTAAAATGATTTTTTTGGCCCAATATCCCAGTCGAGTAAAAAATTTAGGATTTTGGGCCTACTCAAATTTTATTTGGCAAACTACGACATTTGTTACAGTCAGCCTGGAACTCATCACCTTGAGATGATGAGTTCCCACATATAATATTCTTTAATGGTCCCCACATAGTGGACCCCATGTGGACCATTATTTAATTGGAATTATAACGAGTCGTCACGTCGAGGTGACGAATCTATTAATTTTATAAAAAAATTTAAAAAAATAAAATTTATAAAATAAAAAATCGATGGAACTCATCACCTCGACGTGACGAGTTCCTTTGAATTCAAAAAAAAAGTAGTCGTTGTTGAACGGACGAGGGGCAGTCTACGAAATACAAAGTAATTAAATAAATGTAAAAAATAAATTTTTACATGAAAATTACAAAGTAAAAATCAATTTATCTATGTCTTCTAAGTTCTTGACGATGCCGTGGAGTGGTCGAATGATAGTGTCGCGGGGCTCGTCGAGTACGTTGGGGTCATAAACTTGATCATCGTCGTCGCCGTCTTCTTGCCGAGGAGGTGTACCCAACTCACTCTGCGATCCACCTTCGAAAGACAGTGATGAATTTATGACATTTGACGCTATCATCGTTGTAACTGCTTAAACTTGGCTATATGGTCACTCTCACCCGCAACTGCATGTTCTGTTAAATATGCTTTAGTGTACTGCGATGCATCACATGAACCTCCAACCTAATTCAGTCGAGTCTCGGCTGAAGTATGAAATGGAGGATTAAAACCGAAACTAGCCTGAGATGCGTAATAGTACTCTTCAGTCGCATATGTTGAAGCTCGTGTGGCCTGATGATGTTGCCATTCTGCCGTGTAATACCCCAAATTTTGGCTATTGACCAAAATATAAGATTTAAAGTTTGGTGGTTAAAGTATCAACTTTATAAAAGTTTAGGGACCACAAATATAATTTTAAAAAGTTATATATCTTATCCCATAAATGAACAGTTTGACCTAAAACAAGAATTTTTGTGGTAATCATATTTTCGGTACGGTATTTATATAAAAAACTATAAAGCGATGAAGTTCGATATAGAAATCGGATAATCGGATCGAACCGGAATTCTACGAAAATTTGAAAGATGCTAGATAAGTGTTGAAAATATTATTTCCATAATTTAGATCAAATAAATTTAGCACAGGTCAGTGTAATTTTTCATATTTGGGCCTAACAATGGAAAATTAGTGACTAAAATGTAAAATTGAAAAATTGCATGGCCAAAGTAGAAAATAAAAGTCAAATTGATTCATTTTGACTAAGGAATATTTTAATAGAAGATAATACCATGACATATGATAATTATCATAATTCATTAATGACAAAATTGTAAACAAGAATTAAATGAATTTTAAATTTATTTATATTATTAAGCCATGTGTATTATGTTAATTAAGTTGAAAAATTCAAGCAAAAAATTGTCAACTTCAAGCTCCCAACCGTGGGTTCCATAGTAGGTAAGAAAAAAAAATTAGGGTTTGTTGATTTTTGAGGATTTGATGAAAGATTATCATGTTTTTTATGTTGGAGATTAATTCTAAGGCTTGTGTAATGATTAAAATTAGGGTTAATTATTTCAAATACCATTAACCTTTAAACGTTGACTTGTTTATACCACTAACGTTTCAATTTTACCAATTTTAGCTCTAACGTTTACTTTTAAGTGCAATTATATCACTCCGCCGTTAATGATTTAACGGCACGATAAGATGGCAGCTCCGTGCCGTGACGTTGATGACATGAATGCCTCATCAAAACGACGTTGTTTTGAGACAACTATTTTGATGCTCAATAAACATAAAATGATAACGTTTTGCTTGAAAAAATTATTGAAATATTGTAGTTAAAGGGATTTGAACCCGAGACACATAAAAATTGTTCTAAATGGTCAACTGCTTGACTACCATAAATCCGGTCCTGCACCATCTCCAAACGTTTCAAATAAAATTCCAACTCCAAAATCTGCAGCTTTCTCCACCTTTCGTCCGTCGGTTCTGCATTACCCCCACCGCCACCGAAATTCAAACTTCCCTCAAAACTCAACGGCATTGCATTCATAGCCAACTGACTAATCCCTCTTCCTCCATATCCCCCTCCTCCCACCTCCCATTACACTATCTAATAGCTCCTTGAACATTGGTGTTAAACAACTCCTCAGTCTCCTCTACGACCCCCACCTCCACATTAACTCCTCCTCCACCACCACCACTGCCACCACTAAATCCTTCTATATTACCATTATCATTATCATTATTAGTCCTAACATTATAGTTACTATTGGTAATCAGAGTTCCATCGTTTAAAACTCCTTTCTCCACCATTTTCACTCCTTTATTTCTAACCCTTTTCTTAATGGCGTTGATTTCGGTGTAATTTTTTTTTTTCTCTTGACTATCGTCTATTAAACTAGTTTTATTATTGTTATTTTCATCATTATCTAAAACATTATCTTCTACTTTGCCAACAATATTACTACAGATCCTACTGAAAATTTCAAAAGTAGCTTGATCATGAGGGGTATTGAAGGAAAATTCTTTACCAGCTGAATTGATCTTACTCATCACGGTCCTATATTTCTTCTTCAATCTAAGAAGCTTCTCCGCTAATTGATTCTTGTTGAAGTCCAGCTAGAGTTTCGATTTTGACTTGATAGTAAAACAAAGCCGTATCAAGATGATGATGGTGGTGTGAAAAAGCAACACTTGAGTTCATTCTCAACGTTGAGTAACCAAGAAACCATGATTCCATGTTCTGCTATGAACGAGGATGATGAGTTGTCTTGTTTGGAACAAAAATTTCTTCCGGAAACAAAGATTTTTAAAAATTTGTTAGAAAAATTAACAAAAAACTTAAGGTATCTTAGCGGTTAAGCATTTAGAACAATTTTCATGGGTCTTGGGTTCAAATCCCCTTAACTATAATATTCTAATAATTTTTTTCCAAGTAAAAGGACGTCGTTTTGTGTTTATTGAGCATCAAAATAGTTGTGTCAAAACGACGTCGTTTTGGTGAGGCATCCACGTCAGCAACGTCGCGGCTCGAAGCTGTCATGTCATCGTGTCGTTAAATCATTAACGACGGAGTGGTGTAATTGCACTTAAAAGCAAACGTTAGTGTTAAAATTGACAAAATTAAAACGTTAGTGGTATAAACGAGTAAACGCTTAAAGGTTAATGGTATTTGAAGTAATTAACCCTTAAAATTATGTGTAAAGCCTTGTATTGAATTCGACCAAACTAGGGTTTTAAGGGATGAATGTATTTTGATTTATTTTGATGTTGTGATGGTTAGAATATCATGATTTTGATGTAAGAAAGTTGAATTCATACTTGAAATTGAATGTAAATCAAGCCCTAAAGGACTTATAGTATTCGACCATAGGGGAATAATTTGGGGAAAAGTGTTGAAAAATTTCCTATAGTTTAGAATTAATATTAGAAGTGTTCTTCATTATACAGAAGCTAAAAGAACAGTAAATATTAAATATCAAAATTAGTATATATAAAGTTAAAAAGATTCAAAAAATAAAAATAAAAATAGCGTATGGCATACCATGAATCAATCGACGATGTCGATCATCATCCGTATGTCTCGTGCATCAGCACCCACCAACTTCGTCTCCATTATTTTATGACGCTTTATCTAAAATATTTAAAAATAAAAAAATTATTATAAACAAATAAATAAATAAATAAAATTTTTTAGATTAAAAATAGGTTAAATAAATGAAGTTAAACAATTACCTTGCAGCCAACTAAAACTCGACCGGGGTGTCTGTAATCGAGGTAAAAAAGGGCAAGCAATACAAGGCCCATGACTGTAACAGTAATAGACATCTTGCTACATAGGCTTTTCGACCACGCTGGACAGTTGCAGCCTTGCAAAGCTCCTATTAAAGAAAGGTCAAAATCGCTGAGCCCCAACTGGTATTCCGATACATAGTGAAGTTGTCCAAATATCGTAGATACTGGGTGTGCGCCAAATTACTAGATTTATCCGGTAATAATATCCCTCCGATCAGTTGGAGAAGAAATGTTCGAGACGCAAAAACAACCTCATTCTCGGTAGACTCGTCCATGACTTAGAATTCGGACTTCAACCACGTTATCATTACCCGATAGCCCCTTATGCAATCGGATGGTTGTCATCTTCCTAAGACTTGGTAAACCAACGTCGCGGGGTCGTAAATGTTTTTGTTCATCACAGGGGCTCTATTCACCGAAACACCGAGTTGGTAAGCAACTTCTTCCAGAGTAATCTTCGCTTCACCACTCGGGAAGTAAAACGTGTGTTTCTAGAGACGCCAACGTTCGATTAAAGCCTCGATTAACGTTGGGTACACCTTGAAGCCACGTAAAAATATGACCGGAAATAGATTGGATTAATGCATATATACCTTTATTCATTGATGCGGCTCTCTGGTTATCACCCCCTACTCCGAATACTCCATTCGTCATTCGACCCATGTTGGATTGAAGAAACATGGATGTTATCCAGACGCAACATATATTCTCGGGTTGTCATTTTTTGAGATTTTCGCACAACGTATTTTTTTAATTTTTTTTAGATTCAGATTTGGTGAAATATCAAACCCAAACCCTTATTTATAGTCTTACCCCAAACAACTAGTTTTTCAAAATAACCGGTCGGAACTCGTCATCTCGAGGTGACGAATTCTATCGACTTTTTTGATTTTATAAATTTTATTTTTAAAATTTAAAATATATATTTTAATAGACTCGTCACCTCGACGAAATAAGTTATTATAACCCCAATTAAATAATAGTCCACGTGAAACCCACTACTCGAGAACCATTAAAAATAATATTCGAGAGAACTCGTCACCTCGAGATGACGAGTTTTAGGCATACTATAACAAATATCGTAGTTTGCTAAATAAAATTTGGCTAGGCCCAATACCCTAAATTTTTTACCCGCCTCGGGTATTGGGCAAAAAAACCCTTTAAAATCCGGGTCTAAAACGGGTACTTAAAAAGTAAAAACCCAATTCTAAGTATTTAAAAAAAAACCCTAGAATCATACCGTAGATATGTTGCTCTATCTTCTCCGTTCTTTCACTTATTCTTCTTTTAAGCGGCAGAAGTAGCTTAGGCAGCCAGTTTAGCAGCCATGGTTCTCATTCTTCTTCATTTATATATATTTTTTTATATTTTTTTGAGACGATTGAACACTAAAATCGATTTTATTTTGATTTTTCTTTTCAGGTGAAGTATTCGAAGGAGCCAGATAATCCCACCAAGTGTAAAGCTCCGTTTCCTCTCTTTCGTTGGGATTTTTACTTTAAATTTATGCCCTTTTTTCGTTGGAAACTGATCATGCGTTGTGTTGTTATTGTGCAGCCTGCAAGGCAAGGGGCTCTGATCTCAGGGTTCATTTTAAGGTATTTTAACGTTATTTTGATATAATATGATCTGAACTTTTGATAAAATTATCGGTATAGATAGATTAGCTTGTTGCTTAGGGATCTCTCTTTTTATATACGGTTGAAGATCAAATGAACCAAGTGATACTAATGAATGATTATTGTTGCCATAGCTAATAATTAGATTATATAAGCAGCTGCAGAACGTCTCTGTTTTGTTTCCTGATTGCTTGAGGGAGGATCTTTAGTGATTTTGATGAACTTATTAGGATGAATTGTTTGTGCTTTTTTATTCTTTCTGGCTTACTATTTGGATTCGTGAGTGATGCTATCGTACAATTCAGGAAAATTAATTGCATTGTTATTGGGTGAACCTCTGGATCTTCTTGGTAACTGAGGGTTCAGTAAATGATATCGCATTTTGTATTACTTTGCAAAGATGTTAGTGTTTGATTAGCAATGTACGGGAATTCGTTCAATTGTTTTTTCGGGGAGCCTTGATCTATTCTATTCTAGTGGGTATTTTTTATGGCTTATATTTTCTGGTGATCATCACCATGTTTCGTATCCATTTTTTGCTGTATAGAACACAAGGGAGACTGCATTTGCCATCAGGAAGTTGCCTTTAGGTAAGGCTAAGAGGTATTTGGAGGATGTTATGGCTCACAAACAGGCCATACCTTTTCGACGCTTTTGTGGTGGTGTCTGACGTACAGCTCAGGCAAAGAACAGGCATTCTAATGGACAAGGTCGCTGGCCTGTAAAATCTGCCAAGTTCATTCTAGATTTGCTGAAGAATGCAGAGAGTAATGCTGAGGTATGCCTACTCCCGTCGTTTTGGTTGGAACTCAATTCTATTGATTTCTGCTCATAATAAACCCCAAAATTAATTTTTCAGGTTAAGGGCTTGGATGTCGATGCACTCTATGTTTCTCACATCCAGGTTAACCAGGCTCAGAAACAAAGGCGTCGTACTTACCGTGCGCATGGAAGAATCAATCGTATGTCTTAGAACCATGCACTTATCGTTCTTTACGGTCTATTCTCTCTATATCTTTATAAGGCTGTTCTTTTTGCCAGCTTACATGTCTTCTCCTTGCCACATCGAGTTAATTTTGTCTGAGAAAGAGGAGCCTGTCCAGAAAGAGGTAATTTAAAGCTGAACTTAAATCTACTTACGAATGAAAATTGTGCTGCTATTGTATTTTCGGTTGAAAATATGTTCGTCTTCTTCCAGCCCGAGACTCAATTGGCAGCTAGCAAGTCTAAGAAGTCCCAAGCCTCTGCGTAGGTGGTGCTTCTTCTTGAGTTATTGTTTAGGATGTTTTTCGAAGCTATGTTTAGTCAAATCTTATCTGAGTTTCCTCTTGGAGATTTTTGGTTTAATCTATGTTTTTATACGTTTCTTTAACTCCTTGGCATGAATCTAAGTTGGTTGCTTATACCTGAAGAGTGGTGGATCGAGTCTTTTGATGGGGAGCAACTCATTTGACACCCTCTTTTGACGAGGCCCGTTGAATGGCGCGGCCGAGTGACTAAAATGATGTGGTTTAAAAAAACAAAATTTTCAACAAACCGATGTCATTTTGAATTTATATAACTGTTCATTTAATGCCGTTAATTATTTAATGATCGAATAACCAAAAAACTCAATGTATTAAGTTCAGTGAATAAATTGAAAATTAAAAAATTTACAGTACAATGAGTGAAATATGAGAGAAAAGTAGAATTACCTAATTTGTAAAATACCCTTAATTTTTAAAGGTCCATTTAAAAAAACCAATTAATGTAATTACTGATAATATTAAAATTTTATTATATTATTATACTAATTATTTAACAATTATATTCCTCTTAGAATCTTTTGAGTGGATGATTGAATACACGTATCGATCCTAAATTTTTGGTTCGTGACATAAAAGAATATAAGAAGATTTGATTTAATTGACCTTGGGTGATGATTTTGTAACTAATAATCAACGATCAATTTGTTACTTTAAAAACTTCAGTGATATAAATTAAATTTACTTAAACATTAGTGATTAAATGTGTAGTTTACCCTTTTATTTATCTAAGTGATTTATTCAATGTTTTAGTGGGATGTTTTTATAACTTAATTTAGATGATCGATTCATACTTAAAAATAATCCTTTCCATAAATATGTAATTCATACCATTAATAAAAGACATTGAAGGAACATTAATAAGAGGCTTTATTACTAGTAAATAAAAGTATAAAACAGCTTTCAGTTGCACATAGTTTTGAGCAGTTGATCCAACGGCCATTGTATCCATCATCGCTTTGGATCGTGTGGTCATGAGATATCGTCAGTTCACCATATGTTAAAACCTGGACTTGAATTTCTCACGTACAGTGCACTTCCTTTCTTGTTGCTCGACTTTCAGTTTCAAGCATCCTCTCTCGGTCTTCGCTTCTCGATTTCGCTTTCAGGTAAATTTCTTTTCTGTTTTAAGTTTTGCAGTTTCCAAGTGATTCGACTCTCTTTTCATTCTTTCTTTCTTTTCCCCCCGAAAGACTTATGATTTGTATGATTTGCTCGTGGATCGAATTATGTTGAAAATGAAAGAGGAGGAGCATTCACGCTTCGAAGGCGAGGATGATTTTAGGTTTAATTACTCTGAAATCTAACGAAGCCCTAATGTTTACCCTCCACTATTTGATGCTCAAATTTCGATCTCTCTTCTTTTGTTTCCCCCCTTCTGATCTCGATTCATTTTCATGAGCTTTAGACTTCTCTATTCGTTTGTTTTTTTTTTCTTGCCAACCAAACAACATTTAAGGTTTTGATTTGTCGATCTTCGCTCGCTAGACACAATCAAAGATCTCTAGGTTTCAACGAAGAAAACTTGAAGGAGAACCATTTTGGGGATCGAGATCCATGTTTTTTCTGTTTATATGATGCCTGCAGTAATGGTGAAGTAGGAAACAAAATTAGCCAAGAGCAATGTCTTTTTAGTTATAGTCTAGTTTTGGTATTTGTTATCGTTAATTGGTGTTGAATTGTATTAATAGATGGATTGGCAAGGGCAAAAGCTAGCAGAGCAGATCATGCAGGTACTGCTATCGGTGTTTGCAGTGGTTTCATTCGTTGCTGGTTATGTGCTGGGATCGTTTCAGATGATGATGCTCGTATATGCCGTTGGCGTGACCCTCACAGCCTTGATTACTGTTCCGAATTGGCCTTTCTTCAACCGCCATCCGCTCAATTGGTTGGATCCCAGTGAGGCCGAGAAGCAACCCAAGCCTCAGGTAGCTGTGAGTTCGAAGAAGAAAAGCACCAAGAAGTAGGGTCATTTTGATTTCGTCTTCGGTTGCTAGGAAGCTGAAGGGATATCTTTTTTTTTTTTTGCTTTTATTTACATCAATGGGTACTGTAGTCCGCTAGGTTACTTGAAAACAATTAGAGGGGAACCCCTTCTTCCTTTGCCTCTACTATGTTGCTATTAAACAATTGAAGAGAATTTTCATTTTCATTTGCATATCTATTTCATCTTGATGCCTCTAAGATGTTTACATTATTGCTTTGCTATCAAATGCCAGAAAGCCTTTGTTTGGTTGGCTGCAGGAAAATCGAAGATTTAAAGCTTGAGGCTAGCATCAAGCTGGCAGATGAAGTTTACATTGTCTTTCATGGAAAAAAGGTTAGGAACCTTATCATTTACACGTAAAAGAGCAATGATTTTCCTACCGGTTTTCATTCTCTATTGCTCTTACAATTGGGTCATTTTCTAAGTCCAAGCTATCGTCATCATCAAGTTCGTCTAGTTCATTTAATATAGACTGGTTAATCCTTTTCCGTGATTGCCTCCTATGTTTCTTTGGTTCCAGTCGGGGTTCAGCTCGCTGAATGCCCATATCTCCAACCTTGTACCTGCAAATAGGGTTCAAAATTTCAGAATGATGTTGCAACTGTTTACAAGTTAGCTACTGATATAACTTGAATCATATCTACGACGAGAAGTGTGGGAAAATACCAAAATTGAGGCATTGTATAGAAACGTAGACTTTAAAATATTGTGGATCTAAGCTTTTCTCACTAGAATATTATTTCAGAAGTCAGAACTGTAAGAACAGCTGCAAGTATGAACAGGGTACCAAAGATATGAAAATCACTGGCGAAATGTGAAAATGATCCCCCTTTAGCCTATAGCCTATAGATTATATAGGACCGTATGAAGAGGGATTTTCTTATAAGGCAATTAACATTTTAAGTGATGCATATCATAGTTTACGTACCTAAAATCACCCTCTCTTTTGCTCCCAAACATCCTCAACTGAAATTCCTCTCTGATTCTGATCTCATCAAGAAGTTGGAAATAGTAAGGATATCTTTCCCAATCCCCTTTAAAAATGCACCCCGGTTCACCAATATGTAGGCAGTTGTTGAATGAGCATTTCGCAGGTTCCATGTCTCTTAGCATTTTCCGGATCTGAAAATGAGAATAAAAACAAAGATTATCGGATGGAACAAACTAGAGTCGAATCCATATTAGAAGTTGCTGTAGTGTACACATAGGGTAAGATGTGTACTACATTACAGTCAGCAAGCAGACAACCTCAGGGAAAGCTTGTGCAAGAGAGTGCTTTGTCGTTTTCAACAAACTAGGTTGGTTAAACCCAGGGTGTATCGGCGAGAAAACCCCCTCCTGACAGCGGAAGCAAAGAAACATGTCGAGTAGTATGCTTTCCTCTACCACTTCTTGTTGAAACCTCCCCAACCCTCTGATCTTCAAACCAGTTACTGCCCAAAATCTAAAGGAAACAAATGCTTCTTAAGGAATTGAATTATACATGACTTGCCATTCTTAATACAAAGAAAAATGAAGAGAGAGGTCTTGAAGAATTTGGAAAACAAACCCACGGGATCAAACCAGTTGTCTCCTTCAAGGGCGTCGGACGAACGGTGATTACTTCTCAGAATATTGATAAGGCTTGATTTCCCAACCCCACTCGGACCGACAATTACAGTTGTTCAATCCCTCAAGTAAAAAACCAGAGAATCAAGGCCATTTTTTGTCTCAGCACTGCAGAAAAGTGGTTCATAACCCCAGCTTCTCAACCTTTTCTTCCATGCCTCAAGAGTCTGCAAATACATTTCATAATTTCAACAAGTAATTTGCAATGAGATCATAGTCAATTAGCAACAGTACACTCAATCCACGGCCATAAGAGAGCATCAAGGTTCGGATTCGAACCTCTTCATCGACGAGTTCCGTTTTGTTCAAAGCAAGCGTGAGGCGATTCCATCAAATCAATGGACCCGACCACCACCTTGTCTCCTACCAGAACCCTCCTCTTTATCTTCTTCAAAACGTCCCTCACCACGCACAGCAACTCCACGCCGACTTTAGGATCTACTCCATCGGAGCTGCTCCGTTCCGGTTGGACGATTACGCGCCTGAAGTTGGTTTGGGAGGCGGCGACGGTGCCGATAGCTTGGGACTCGGAAAGGGGAGGGGTTTTGTTACTAGAAAGCGCGGGGGCGAGGGAGGAGAAATCTTTCAAGACGTGTTTGGCTTTGAGGAGATTCTTGTTCGGCGGCGTTCTTCTGGATGCGTTTTGTTGTCTGGGATCAGAAGGGGACTGTTTGGCGGCCTGTTTGGCGGCGAGGATAGAGAGGCGGCGATTGGGGTATAAGTGGCGGAGGAAAACGGTGGTTACGGTTGGTGATCGGTAACGGAACAGAGAAAACGAAGTAATCGGCATCCTGATCAGTAGAGAAAATGATCGGTCGTTGAATTCAATTCATCAAAATTGAGAGAGAGACAATGTTGTGGACTGAGTGGAATTTTATCCATTTCCCTTGTAGCAAGGAATTGCCTAGCCCTATCTTCGCCTTTTTTTTCTTTTCTTTCTGGTACAAACAGTTCGCTGTTATTTATTTATTTATTGGGTAAATTATACCGGTACTCACCGAACTATACTCTCCTATTTTTCTCACTTAACTTTCACTTTTTTATTTTTTTCACTCAACTTTACAAATTGAATCGTTTCTCACTCTCCCATTTTCTCTCTAATGGTTGAAGAAGTGGCATTTTTTATTTTTTAATATAAAAATTGAGAAAATAACAAAAAATCAGAAGGTGGTTAGATGTCATCGTCGGCCACCGTTGATCGCCGTAGACGGTGACTATTCAATCCCAAATTTTATGGGTCGCTTCGCCTTGACATCGTGATTTTGAATCCAACCTCTATTTTTGTCAGAAGTTGTTTTAAAGTCTACGAATTTGAGATTAAAAGTGAGGGAATCAAAACGTTTCAGTTGAGATTCACGGGTTTTGGAACATTTTTCGGTGAAACAACCACTATATTCAGACTCATAGGTCGAGATGAACCGACTCATGAAATTTGGGACCAAATAGCCATGGTGGATGGTGTCCGGAGTGAAAATAGTGTGGTGAGTGATTGAGAGAAAATGTAGAAGAAAAGGAAAAATGATAAATTACACAATTCTTCATTGAACTTTACTCCCTCTTCTATTTTACTCACCGAACTTTCAATATAGTATTCGAAACGATGTTGTTTTGTTGTATATTTGAGTTTTTCAAAACGACGTTGTTTTGATGCTTGTGTCAAGTCAACACGCTGTTAAATAGTTAACGACAGAGTGAACAAAATGATTCAATATGTAAAATTCAGTAAACAAAATAGAAAAATTAAAAGTTGGGTAAGGAAAAATAGGGAGAGAGTATAATTTAGTGAGGAACGGTGTAATTTACCCTTATTTATTTATTATTATTGGATGTAATCATGCTCTCTTGAGCTTATCATGCAAATTTAGAGAAAATAGTAAAACAATTTAGGAAAAGTGCATCAAACAGATCATTCACATTATGCGACCGAAACACCATAACGAGTAAAAATTATTATTATATTTAAAGTTTTATGTTTAAATATTAAAAATATTTGCTTTGATTAATTTGGATCAACCCGCATCGCACACCTGATTTTGGTGGGTGAGTCTTCGATAGGGATTTTTTGCATAAACAATGATTTGAACTCAAAACCTTGCTTAAGCGATATCAAATTGTTTACCACTTGAACCAACCCTTATTAATTACTATATCTTTTAATTATAGATATGTGTGTCATATTGGATACGAGTTTTTATTTAAAAATCAAATCTAATTTCTAATCTGATGTAATCTTCTTAAATTTAAATCAAATCAAATGACAATTAAAAAATAAAATATTCGAATCAAATTCGAGTCCACTAAAAACTTGTATTCAATTTATCTCATTTCCATCTCTTATTTTACAATCTACATTGAATCATGTTACTCTTTAAGTGTAACATAAAATTTTCCAGTGTCATGATTCTATACTAAGATGTTTGATGGAAATAATTTCTTTCTTAAATTCATATAGTTTTCTACACCTCATCACCGTTTATTTTTCGATAAAAGGGAAGCTCATTTCATTAGGCCGTGGCTCATAGTCTACCTACCACGTCAATAAAGATTAATCTTATAAAACATATACTACTTTGTAATCACCTTAGTTTAATAAAAATAATAATATAACTATCAAATGGATGAGTGAAAATAAATGGCTGAAATTGACTCTTTGTTTTTTTCTCAGTAGATATCTTTACATTTCATACCGTTAATCTCAACTATCTACTTTCACTCATCCAACGATCATAAACCTATGTAATACTAAAAGGGTCTTACATGATGTAAAACGATCGTATCCCAATATAAATATATCTTAAAGTTAAATTATTTAAGTTAAAATTTTAATGTATCAGGATTGAAGGAACATAAAACTCTTTTTGCTAAATGACGGCGTGACGCTTCATAGATATATACAATGACAAAATATAAATTTTTATATTAAAGATATGAATCTTTATAAAATTGTATTAAAAATTATAAAATTTTAAAGATACGAAATTATATCGTTAATAAAAAAAATATTCTTAGATGATATATAAATTTAAAAATTTTAAACGTGTGATTGTTTTGTATATCTAGAATCATATTATATATATATATATAATTAGATTGAAATTTACAGACAACTTTATGTTAAGAAGAGAATTGAAAGGCCTCTTGACGTGCCAAAGAGTCATTTAATAGTTGAGCTCCAAATAATGCGTTCGTTTCATCTCTAGAGAGGGTCGAGGGGGGGTTAGGCTGATTACCATTTTATAATATGAAGAATCGGCAAAGGATGTGAGAATAAAGTCAAATCAAAACTTGTGAACCATATTCAAGCCATGCCCATGTGTATTTCATAAGCTTAATTAAACAAAAAAATCAAGTTTACTTTTTTATTTTATAATTATGTATATTTGATTTGTTAATTAATTAATTAAAATTAAATATTGTAAAAAATGATTATAAAGACGATCTTGTTAAATGCAGTTTTTTCGTTCATAATATCATGATTTTCTATGTTGCCCGTCCCCCTTTCCGGCCACGGCCACTGCTGTCAACGTAGTCCATGTCATCTTCTTATTCATACGTTGTCGTAGTTGTCGTCGAGATTGCGTGGGATCGTAATTTTTATCCTAGGTTCGCGGGTATAAAATATTGATTCGCCGTCGATCGATCACGATTTCATAGGGATTTTGGTCGTCATGTGAGATGAGGTCGGGTGGAGATTTCTCGACGGTAAGGGCGATGGTCGACGTTGGTTTAGGGATTGAAATAGATATTTTCAAAGTTTTTTGGGTTATTTCAAAATGTTTATTTTTAATATATATATATATATATATATATATATATATATATAATTTAATTTGTTTATTTTTAATATTCTTTTAAAAAGCACCATATTGTGACATATGTCACTTAACGGAGAAATTAACGTCATTGATAACCCGAGCACCTATATGAATAATGTTTATAACGTTAGACACCTGAATGAATCCAAAATAATTTAAACAACTATTTGAGAATTTAAGTATAGTTTGGACATTTATTTCGGTATTAATCCTAAATAAATAAACTCACTTGAACGCAATACATCAATACCCTACCACCACACACCAGTGGATAGCGTCATAGATTCGTTTTGGTCACTATTGGTGGTCGAGAGGCGACCGCACTGGACCACATATCCACAGTTCCAAAAAATCCCAGGTCCGGGGTTTAATCCTTAACCACACGAGGGATCCACGGCACGAATGAAAATGGAATCTCACTGAAGTTGATTTTTAGGATACGTGGTAAGCACCGGAAAACAGCCAAAACCCGAAATCTGGAATTATCATTTGTCCACATCAACTTCTACCGTTGAGATGAACGCACCGACAGTCAAGTTGATTGTGTTGAATCACGGTGGGAGCCGGGATGCGAAGTCGATGCGTTGAGAGAGAGGAAAATATCAAATTATTTAAATGATATCAAATTACTCACTACTTATATTAATTATGTTGGCCCAAAAGTTATTCCTTTTTATAGGAAAAATATGTTGACACTCAACATAATCTTATTTGCTCATCGCAAAGAGGAAAATATCAATCTTTTCTTAAAATATATATATATATATATATATATATATTATCTTCAATCTTTCAATGAATGTATGTTTAAAAATTATTTTTAAATATATATTTAAATAATATTATTATATTTAAATTATATTCTATCATTATTTTGATGATTGCGTATGAAGCGAACTAAGTTGAGAGAGAGGTTCACTCTCATAATATACATTTTTAAAGCTTGATATATATTAGTCAATTAATATATTGGATGTAAGTTGTTAATTCAAAAAATATTCAAGTATTTGAAATTTACATTTAAATAATATTATTTTAATTCTAAATATTGAAATAAAAATAATATATATTAAATATTTAATTTTGAATTAAACCTAAAATAAACGAGGGTGTAAAAATAAAAGAAAATAATGTGATGAATAATGACGTGGTGGAACCCTGTTAGTTCTTCTGTCTTCGTTCTTGGTCGCTGATTTGAAGCTTATAAATTCATTCCCTAATTCATAGCTGCTTTGCCTCAAAACAATCAATCCCCCCCTCCATTTCCTCTTTTTCTTATTATTATCAACTCATTATCTCCTGTTCTCCAGGATCAAGGTGTTTCTTTTCATCTTCTTTGCCCCCTTCCTTTCATATCTTAGTTCTCTATATCCTTATATTATACTCGGATTGAGTTTGTTCTTACATTTGCTTCTTCTTCTTCTTCTTCTTCTTATATTTCTAGCTTGTTTTTGTTTTGTTTTCAGACATTTTAGATTCCTGTTTTTGTGTTTATACTCGGATCTAGCTTACTATGTTTCTTATGATGTTGGAAAAGAACACAGGGCTTTCTGTTGTTAGAACTTGTATTTCCAGCTTGATTTTTCTTGCTGGGATTGATAATTGGTTGTCCTGCCTGTTGCTTTAATTTTCTGTATGTATGCATTTGATCTTGAGAACCCATTTGATGGTTTTAGTTATTTGTTTTGTTTTTAACATTGGGTGGGTGAAATCAAGATCTGGGTTGTACAAATCAAGGGATATATACTAAGTTGTTGTACATGAACTGGGTTTGGTAAAAGTTGATTTTGAATTGACCTTTCTTCATTTTACTTTATACATTCAGGTAAATCCCCGGTGTCGTCGAAATGGAAGTTATTGGGGGCTAAAACTGCCGAATTTTATGCTCATAAGAGGTGATTTATGCTTCCGAATTCTTTGACTATGGCTTGTACAACTAGAATATATACTATTGTTTCATCGGTTTCCTTTGGTTTTCGATCCTGTGATTAGGTATTCGGGCGATGTGTGTGGAAAGGAACGGATGCAAAGGAGTGGGGAAAGCTTCACCAGGTGTGACGGTCGATAACTACTCGAATAGCAGGGCCTTCGGCATGGATTATAAACCAGAATGGACTAGGAATAGATTATCGTCGACATTAACAGCTCAAGTGATCCGTTCCGCTACGTTGCTTATGCCTTGGTGTTGTAAAATCCCTATAGGTGATGGATTTCATGAGTTCCTTTAATTAGTAGACTAGCATTTATAGAATTATCGACGCATTCTTTCGGGAAATTTTGAGAAATCGTTTAGAAAATGCCTGGTTTTGTGAGAGACAAGAAGAGAATCACAGAACTTACCTCCCCCGTTATGCAAGATACACTGATTCATTCGAAAGGCAATCCACATCCATATTCTCTGGCCATCGATGAATTAGGCTGCCCGCTGCTTCCGGGGCTTCCCGATGATGTGGCCAAGTATTGCCTTGCCCTTGTTCCTCGTCCCAGCTTCCTCGCCATGGGCAGCGTATGCAAGAGGTGGAGATCGTTTATTCAAAGCAAAGAATTCTTAACGGAGCGAAAGATAGCCGGAATGCTTGAAGAGTGGCTTTATGTTCTGACAATGGATTCCGAAGGAAAGGAAAGCCACTGGGAGGTTTTGGATTGCTTGGGGCAGAGACGCAGGCTTCTTCCACCGATGCCTGGCCCCGAAAAAGTCGGTTTCGGGATAACTGTCCTTAATGGAAAGCTCCTTGTGTTAGCGGGCTATTATGTAATCAACGGGACTGCCTCTGCGTCAGCTGACGTTTACCAATACGATTCTTGCCTCAACAGGTTTGTTTTCGGGTTCTGATCACATAATCTGCTGTAGTTTTCGTTCTTGTGGGGTTTAACACATCTTCATAATTGCAGCTGGAACAAACTCGCAGACTTGAATGTTGCGCGCTATGATTTCGCTTGTGCGGAGGTGAACGGCGCGGTTTACGTCGTCGGAGGATATTGGGCCGAAGGCGAGAGCCTCTCCACTGCAGAGGTGTACGACCCTGATACAGATAAGTGGACCCTCATCGAAAGTCTACGCCGGCCTCGTTGGGGTTGTTTTGCGTGTGGCTTGAATGGTAAACTCCACGTACTGGGCGGTTGGTCGAGTTTCACCATCGGAAACTCGAGGTTTGTCGATGTATACAACCCCGAGAAGCACAGTTGGTGCGAGATGAAAAACGGTTGCGTGATGGTCACCGCCCATGCCGTGCTGGAGAAGAGCCTTTTCTGCATGGAGTGGAAGAGCCAACGGAAGCTGGCAATCTTCAACCCGGACGACAATTCCTGGAAGATGGTTCCGGTGCCATTGACTGGGAGCACAAGCATAGGGTTCCGTTTCGGGATACTGGACGGAAAACTTCTGTTATTCTCGGTGGACGGAGACCCCGGTTACCACACCCTTCTGTATGATCCGAATGCGGCTCCGGGTTCGGAATGGCAAACTTCTGATATAAAGCCATCTGGTTCGTGCCTATGCAGTGTGACAATTAAAGCTTGAAAGAAGCATGGCATGGCCTGTGGGTTAATTAAGGATCTCAAATGACCAATTCCATTCAAGTTCGTGTTAAGACTAATTTGGTTCCGAGCCTTTTGTGTTGAGATTGAACTTGTTAATTGGATTCCTGTTTTACAATTTACCTTCTGCTTTTTCTTCTCAAGGTTTCCTGCTCGTATCTCTCGGTCTAATTCTGTCGTCAGTCCTTGTATACTTCAATTTTTTTTAAATTTAACCTCAGTTTTTAAAACCAGACATTCCATCCTTTTACTTCTCTTATTTTAAAATTAAAATCAAGTTGATGGGTTTAAAGGATAAAAGTAATAGGTGTTTGTTTAGTAAAGGTGTAAGTACTTGCTTAAGAGAAAATAACCTCATTGACCAAAAATGCTTTATAATATACGATTTTAACCAACTTTTTTTGGATTTGCCAAAATGACCAACTAAATCGTAATGCGATCGATAATTCGCAACGCGATCTCCGGTATCGCAAATCAATTTTCATATTCGCAACGCGAACTTCGACTATCGCAATGCAGACTTGGACTATCACAATGCGAATATGTAAATCGCAATGCGATAATCGACTATCGTAATGCGAACTTGGACGTGTCGAAGACACGTATTACCACGACCCAACCCGACCCGAGATGAGACGAGACGAGACGAGACGAGACGGACGGCGGCGGCGACAGCGCGCGAGAGTCCCCCTTGTTCTCTATCACTCAACAAGGAAGTGGGAAAGCCAAGCCTTAAATACCATTCCCAATAGTGTTTTCAATACTATGTGGGATTGAGCATTACCAACACTTGTTTCCAATACAATGTGATTATTCAAGAAACAATTAACAATCATGCACCTTAAAACAACTGAATCAGCAACCAATTGCATTAGTATTATACGATTAAATATGTCATAATTAAAAGTCAATCTACAATCAATCGCGATTATTGCAATTTTAAGCAAAACATTCAAAAATAATATCACTATTTAAGGCTCAATCTCACATAGTATTGGGAACAAGTGTTGGTAATGCTCAATCCCACATAGTATTGGAACACTATTGGGAATGGTATTTAAGGTTTGGCTTTCCCACTTCCTTGTTGAGTGATAGAGAATAAGGGGGACTCTCGCGCGCCGCCGCCGCCGCCGTCCGTCTCGTCTCTGGTCGGGTCGTGGTTGTGGTAATACGTGTCTTCGACACGTCCGCGCGAATATTATCTTTTTAGAGAAAATTCTTAAGAAACAAATGCAATACCACCAGTCGTTGCGATTTTGGACTATCGCAACGAATTTGGAATAAATCGCAACACGAACTTCGACTATCGTAATGCGAACTTGGACTATCGCAATGCGAATATGTAAATCGCAATGCGATAGTCGACTATCGCAATGCGAACTTGGACTATCGCAACGCGAACTTCGACTATCGCATTGCGATTTACATATTCGCATTGCGATAGTCCAAGTTCGCATTGCGATAGTCGAAGTTCGCGTTGCGATAGTCCAAGTTCGCATTGCGATTTACATATTCGCATTGCGATAGTCCAAGTTCGCATTGCGATAGTCGAAGTTCGCGTTGCGAATCTGGAAACTGATTTGCGATACTGGAGATCACGTTGCGAATTATCGATCGCATTGCGATTTAGTTGGTCATTTTGGCAAATCCAAAAAAAGTTGGTTAAAATCATATATTATAAGATATTTTTGGTCACTGATGTTATTTTCTCCTTGCTTAATAATGTAAAAATTAGATCGACAGTCGAATTGATCATCAAGTAAAAAAGAGGTAAACTAAGTATATAGTATATAAATTATCAGTTTTGGTATGTTTTAGCACATAAACTATCAGTCTTGGTTTGTTTTAGTACATAAACTTTTAATTTTTTCAAAATCACATTTAACCTTTTGTTTTTGTTTCATTTCAGTACCCCGCCGTTAAAAAATTCACGTGTTTAGTACTTAAATTATAAATTTTAGTCCGTTTTAGTACCTAAACTTTCATTTTTTAAAAATTTAACGTTAAATTTTGAATGGATACTAAAACAAAAACTAAAGTTTAGGTATGATTTTGAAAAAATTAAAAGTTTAGGTACTGAAACGGACCGAAACTGATAGTTTAAGTACTAAATGTGTAATTTACTCATAAAAATTACAAGTTAATAATAATAATTAGAAGAAAAAAATTAGCCAGTTGAACCGAATTTTAGTCAATTTTGTATTTCAGTAATAATAATAATAATATTTAATTTTAGACCACCAATCAAATAAATTGGTCCGTCGATTCTATGTTGGACCAACTCGTCGATTCCGGTTCTACCTCTAGACTTGCTTGAGCAAGAACAAAGCATACTAGTTTATGAGCATTTTAACATATTAGTACAAAATTCTCACTTTTATACATTCCGATCCTTCATTTTTCATAAAGTATTCATTTCCAAAATAAATTTAAATACAAGTTTCAGGATATAATTTCTTCAAATATATCATATGCTTACATCAAATACATATATATATACACAATCCAACACTAGGAGGTTGTTTGTTTACTTCAGAATGATTAAGCGTTGAATGATTCAGAGGCTCTGCATGAATTAGCTCTGAATGTGACATGCTGTTTGATAATGGTTCTGAATCATTTAGAATACACTTCTATGCTGAATCATTCAGCACTATTTTACTGAATCAGTCAGCACTGAATCATTCAGAGGTGCGAAACAAACGCTCTGAATGTTCTGAATGTGACATGATGTTTGATAATGGCTCTGAATCATTCAAAATATACTTCTATGCTTAATCATTTAGCACTATTTTGCTGAATCAGTCAGCACTGAATCATTTAGATGTGCGAAACAAACGCTCTGAATGTTGAACGGTTCAACATTCAGCGCTGAATGGCTCCATTAAGAGGCAAACAAACAGCCCCTAACACTTAAATCCGAATAAGATTTTCTATATTGTAATTGTGACTTGTTCAAGCAGTGCCAATTTTCATTACTAACTTTAGAGGTTTATACAAAGTAAAATATGTAATCGCTTACCTTACCATCCATCAATTTTGGGCAGGGCTTAGCCTTTTCTTCCTCTCACCAAAGCTCACGTTGCGCACCTTGCGCACCATCCATCAATTTGGAAAATATTATATATTTTCTTTAAAAAATTTAAATTCATAAAATTTATATAATTTTTTTTTACAAAATTAAAAATATAAAAAGGTTTAATAAAATGATAAAATTTTATTTTAACCCCTGAACTTCATATAAAATTTTAATTATAGACTTTTTGTGTAAATCTAAAATAGTTTAAGGATAAATTTGTAATTTAACCTTTATAGAATTTTTATTATTTAATGACAGAAAATTGATATTTTAAAAAAATTAAGGGCATTTTAGTCCAAAACACAGGGAAAAAACGCAGGGAATCCAACAATACTTAAGGAAATGAAGGTAATGATGTTCCTAGTAATATACCCCAAAAAATCCATTATTGGTAATCTTACATTACCGAGAATGAGATTCCCGGACTAACCAAACGGGGGAATATGGATTTTATTCCCATGGGAATCCCACATTCCCCCGGGAATTAAATCCACATTCCCCCGTTTGGTTTGGCCGGGAACGTCATTTATCAATATTGGATTTTTTTGGGTATATTACCGGGAATATCATTACCTCCATTCCCTTAGGTATTGTAACATTACCGGCGTTTTGGATTAAAATGCCCTTAAATTTTTATTTTTTTTCAAAACTATCATTCATCTGTCATTGAATAATAAAAATTCTACGAAGGTTAAATTACAAATTTATCCTTAAATTATTTTATATTTACAAAAAAAAATCTATAATTAAAATTTTATATGAATTTCAGGGGTTGAATAAAATTTTACCCTTTCATTAAACCTTTTTTATATTTTTTATTTTGTAAAAAAATTATATAAATATTATAAATTTAATTTTCTAAAGAAAATATATAAATTTTTTACAACTTGTAATATTATACAAATATATAATAAGGACAGTTTGGTCAAATATACATTCCAATAATCTTTTATTCCTTTAACCAAACACGGTAATCTTACATTCCTACTAAACTAACCAAATACAAAATACAACATTCTCAGTAATCATATTCTCTGGTGATCTTTTATTCCCACTGGTAATCTTACATTCCGTGAACCAAACGCACCCTTAGAGTATACCGTAACTCTCGGAGTGGCTTCATTATTTCTTGTGCTATAATTTATCATCCCAAATTTGTTTGATGTTATTTAAAAAATTCACTCGCAGTTTTTTTATGAAAAATAAATTAAGAAATAATAATTTAAAATGGGTACGAAGACTCTTATGATATAATTTTATTCAATTAGAATTATTGTTATAATATGTGTATCTAAGGTTTTAAGTTTGATAATTCATGAGTAGTTTTCACATTTCCACAAATAATAATTTCCATATAACATTTTTACAGGACATTTTCATAGAAGAAGCCTCAGAAAAATATATCCAAAGGAAATAATTTCTAACGTTTGATGTTTCTGATGATGTCCCATAGACCATAGTTTTATTGCACGTCTCGTCTCTTTCCGGCGGCTGCACTTGTCCTTCCAAAACATTAAATCCCATGTTTGACGAAATTCGACTCATTTGAAAACATACAGCAAGCTGCCAAATTCAACTCCGTCTATAGTATACTGCATCATTTTTTTTTGGCTTAATATAAAAATAAGTGCTTCAATTTTATCTTGAAAAATGATTTAGTGTTTAAATAATTTTTTGTTAAAAATTGGTACTTGAAGTTTTCTCAGTCACATTTTTAGGTGTCAACTATTATATTTTTTTAATTATTTTAATAATAAAAGTATTATTTTTAATGAAAAAAGAAAAAAACTTAATTTATTTACAAAAGAACCCTAAACTTTAATGAAATTATAAAAAACTCAAAAAAAACTACAAAATATCATTTCAACCCCGTTGCCATGGTGGAACCCCCGACACCTAAATGTATAACTTTAGAAACTTTAGACACTTATTTTTAGCGAAAAAATCTTTAGACACTAAAACGTTTTTTGACGCAAAGTTCAGACATTTTTTTTATATTAAACCTATTTTTGTCACTTTGTTTCCATTAATAACTAAATTGAACTCTTATTCACTCAAATAGTTAAATAGTATAAGGTGCTAGTATTTAAGGAAGTTTGGTTTATAAAATATTAGTATAATATAAAATTATTCGAGATAATATTAAAGTGTGAGTCAAATTAGATCAGATCAAATTGAATTTATAATAATAACAGAAGTGTAATATATATTTTAAAAAATGATATTATATGAATGTAACATTATCTAAGTTACTCTTAGGGATGGACATAGGCGAGACAAGTCGAGTTTATAGCTGACTTGAATTCGATCCAAGAACTCTATCCCTCCATCTGTCGGTCGACTTGAGTTTAAAGAAACTCTAGTTAACTCGATTTTTAAGTTAAAAATCTATATTTAATCCGATTTGATCTAACTCGGCCCGAACCGACACACATACAAATAAATAATTCTCATTTTTATTAAAGAAAATGAGGATCTAATTGAAAAATATATAGGGAGGAGTATCAATGCATTTATCCTTAAATATATAGTGAATGTTTCACTCTAAATCCAACATAAATAGCATTTTTAAGGATAAATTACAAATTTACTTACTGAACTTTACTCTTTTTTCTATTTCACACATCTTACTTTAATTTTTTTCAATTTATTAACTAAACTTTAGACATTGAACTTTTTTATCACTCATTGATGACATAGATTATTTTATTATTTTTCATATCACATGTCACATTTTTATTAATATTTTAATAGTATTTTGGATAATAATAAAAAATAAATTTTAAAAAATATTAAAATATACAACCAAACCTAAAAACAAAAATTCCCACCCCCACCACCCACATTCAAGTTTCAACGGCAGCGTTGGGTTAGCTCCGTCGGTGACTGCGATCGTAGTGGCTGCCACGATGGCCTTTTTTTAGTGGGTGTTTAGGTGAGGTGAAAAGAAGACTGGTGGATGAAGTCGGACTCGAATGGATGGAGTCGAACTCGAGGTCTGATAGTGAAGACACTGTTTTTAATTGGAGGCCTTCTTTATCTCAAAAGGTTCACCAAATCCACCACTCGTTGGGACCACGCTAAAGCTGTTGTTCGTTCTCTTAGCGATGAAAAGATTCTTCCCCTTTTTTTTCCATTAAAAATTTGAAGCTTTTCCATTACTTTTATTTCATTTCATCTTAATTTCTGTTTTCAAGGGTAGTTCTCGCAGGAGCAAGCTTCTAGAAATCAAGACACTTTAACTCCAGGCAGTAATAATATGTAATAATTTATTTTATATAGAAAAAAGTGAAAGAATTTGATTTAGCTTTCATGTTTGTTTGAATGAGCTTAAAACCATGCATCTTTCGAAACTGTAAGTAACCGTGTATTAGTTTAGCTTATGACTGATGTTATCATCGGCAATGGGTATTTGTCAATTTATGATTTTTTTCGTTTTAAATACTGTTAGAGAGGAAAATTTATCATTGTAGAGCACTTACTTGCTCTGCAACAGAGATGGTGGATGGGTCAAACGTTTGCACCGCTGTATTCATTGATTTGGTCGGTCGAGGGCCGTGAGCTTGACCGTTCAGCGGTAGGAGGGTACCGCCCGCCCGTGGGAGGGTGATTGCCGGTGAAAGGGGTGAGCTTGTCAATGATGATGGTGTGTAGGGTTATAATTTGGGGTTTAAAGTTTGAGATATAATTTGAAAATTTAGGTATAATTTAAGGGTGTAATTGTAATTTTTTAAATTTATTTTTATTTTAATCCTATTTGGTGTTAAAATATTAATAAAATATGACATCTCATGTGAGAAAAATAATAAAATAATCTAATTCATCTTAGAGTGAACAAAAAAAATTCAACGTCAGTGAGCAAATTTAAAAATTTAAAATTACGATGAATTTGTAAATTGAGTCGAGATTTTGGGTACCAAAACTCTATGATTTCTCACAATTTGTTTTGGAATATAATGACAAAATTAGTGGGTGGTAGACAGCGGAGTGAAAGTGAAGCAACAAAGCAATCGTTTGTTAATTAGTTGGGATTTTCCGGTAACGTGTTACAATGGCAAAAAATAAATGTGATTAATTATTATCATTATTATAATATTTAATTAAGCATTTTTTAATCCTATCTGTTTGCTTATTTTTAGAAATATATAATTTAATTATTTTTAATTAATATTATAAACTCAGTGGAACCCACATCAAAGTTTCAAGCCTATAACTAGACTCCATTGTACCAAAACTTCAAACACACTATACCTGTTGGATTTCTTCTATACAACAAACAAAATCTTAACCTGAAAACACAAGAAGATATTGCGTATATTCTGAGCTACATATGAATCAATCGAATTAAGACGGTCTTAGAGGAATTCGAATTTTGACGTTGTGAATGAAGAAAATTAGATTGAGATGATCGTTCTAATAATAAACTAATAAGACCGTGCAAAACCCTATCTAAATAAACTGGTCAATAGGTCCGGTGCTGAAAGGGAAAAAGCCTAAACCAATCTTATACAAACAAAATTGTTCCAACCTTCACAATATATAACCATGGCGGATTATCTTCTAGCTACAAATACATTAAAGAAAGTGTGTATGAAACATGACTGAATAAAGAAATCTAGTAGGGACAACAATGTTAGGAATATCCCGTGCAAAAAGAAAAATCAACAATGATGAATTACTGATCCACAAAAGGAATGAAACCCCACCAATGATATCATTGTAGAAATCAAGAGCGTAATAAAAATGGAAGATATATTCTTAAGGAACCTTGGGAAAACCAAATACTATAAGGTTTTGTTTGCCATCGTTATCGGGTTATCACTTTCCTACCTTTATGTCTTTATCATCCTGTCAGCTACCCAATTCCTAAATATATATAGAACCCTAACTTAATATGATCATTCTTAGGCTTAGGCATTGATATTAAGCATATTCCTAGGTATGGATGAAGAGGATGGGGTGAGAACTAGGAGCTTTCGTTATGAAGACTACAATAACAGAAGAGTGTTTTTGCGGAGCTATCCTCTCCACTCGGGTGAAGATGAAGAAACCAATGAAGAAACAGTGACGGTCACTGAGGGAAGCAGTACAGGAAAGAAGCCTATGAAGAAGATTATCCTATCTGCATGCGACTGGAGTGGTGAAAAGCTTATGGTTTTGAGGAGATACAAGCATAGGTTCACTGCTTATGTAATTGCTTGTATTTCTATCTGCTTTAAATCACCTACTGCCTTGATATCGATTTGATCTATTTCTTCCCCCCCCCCCCCTCTATATCTTCAAAATTCCATGATTTGCAAAGGGCAAGGGGCTGGCATATGTACGGTACCAACTATGATTAAATAGAAGTGTAAATGCCTTATTTCATCACAATAAAACCAAAACAAGACATTCTATAGTCTAACGCCTTTTCTCCTGTCAACCCGCTATACGCAAGATCTGACTTCATAGAAAAGAAAGGAAAATGAATCCAAAACATAATCTAGTTGATTCATGCAAGCTACCTTTAAGAGTTGACATCTAGTAAATCTGAAGTTTGAATTTCAGCATCTGCAACTCCTTTCTCGATCCATAGGTTACAGTCTCCTCTGTACAAAAGGAAATGAAGGTAAATTAGATTGATCAAAAGAATGAGATTTTACAAAAACAGTTCTAAAGAAGGTGAAAAGGCTAGGAGATTTAATAATATAAAAGAAAGGAATCAAACTTGGCAATTGTAGACTTTGTAGTTGGCAATCCAACTTAGCTTTAGGGCCACTGGTAATGGAAGCACACAGGGTAAACTGAAGATAATGGAAAAATAATCTGCCAAAGAATGCTCAGTTACAATTCAAATAAGTTTGTATATAGTTCTTGGTAGTGTCATCAAAACTCTGTTCATCATACAAACCCTTTAAACATGTCAAATTTTGACAGGAGATGCATTGGTCCACATGTAAGAAATGAATCCCACCATTGAACAAGCAAAAGGTGCTCATGCTTAGAAAAATATTATCGACACCCCCATTGTGAAGCATCCTACAGCTACCCAAGGACTTAAGCGTTCACCTGATCCAAGAAATATATATGTTAGTCCCACAAGTTGTAAAGCATTGCTAATAAAAGAGTAACAACAAGCCAATTTGACCCTTTTCCCCCCGCCTACATACAAAATGGTTCCACTAGAATTGTAACACCCTAATCCAGTCCTACCCGAAGATCCATGGATTACAATGCCACATGAAACCACCAAAATGGTCAACCCGAAAATTTCTTTTCAAAACAGTTTATAATCATCAAAATCATCCACCATGTTATATGTGGAATCGAAATAAAGTTTACAAATACGAGAGTCTCCCAAAATACGTACGTTACAACCGTAGAATTTAAAATCAAAATAGAGTTATTACTCGAATACAAAAGGTTCATATAAAATACATGCCCTCTACAAATACTCAAGCCATACTCTGATAATCGACTGGTCAGGAATGGACAAATACGATAGGCTCCCTCAACGATTCACCACTAACCTGTGCACGGAAACACATTCCATACGCTGAGCTCACAAGCTCAGTGCCATGAAAATAACTATGCGATACTACATGCATTCATTACATGAACATGCTGAAATGCTAAGTCATATACATGCGAAAGTACATAACAAACATGAGATAGGCCAAGTAGCGTGGTCGGAGGAATTTACACGCATCTTGGACAGCGTACTAACCTAGCTTCAAGGTAAGAACCGGAATTTATGTGCATCGAAACTTATGGCCCTTAGTCTACCTTAGATCCTCGAAAGGTCGAAGTGAGGTCCAAAATTTACGTGCATCAAAAGCAAACATCCCGTACCTAGTCGAGCATAGGGTACGATTCCAGAATTTACGTGCGTCGGAACTCATATCGGTATGACTCAGAATTTACGTTCATCGAAATCGTACCAAATAGACAATATCCAGATATTTACAAACAAAGTACGGTCGTCATAATGCTAGAGTAACTCGGGTGTCCTAGCCGTTTCTCGAGTGCCAAACAAAAGCAAATCTTATGTCACCCTATCTTGCTTGATTTCTAGGTAAGAATTGAGTTAATTTGTTTGCTTTCACTTGCATTTAATACTATGGGGTATAAGCTATAAAACTTAGTGTGCCTCTAAAGTTCATCAATCACAAACAAAACATTACAAATCAACATACAATTCGATTCAACAAAAATATTCACAATTTGATTTAACAAAATATTCACAACCTGACTAAATATGCAATAAATGATCACCCAAATGCCTTACATCATCTGAAGAGTAGGTTCCCCAAAACCGCTCTATCTACTAACACCATCCGAAGTGGGGTCTACCACGAAGGCAGAGGCCACTGGATCCGAAGTGAAATTCACTCAGTCGGGTAAAAACACTAAACTTCCCTTATCAATCCAAACCCAGTATGACATGCAAATGGCACACATATCTGATATCTAATCCGATTTGAATAACATATACTCAAATATTATATATATATATCTGAATTCCAATCCGATCTGAATGAGAACGCAGTTACATGATTCTAGAGTCTGAACACAACATAATCTGAATACGATAAATATCACATGTCACATAACATAATTATCTGAATTCCAACTGATACATCAAGTCATATAACCATCATGCTCGAAATCAACTTTCAATCAACATGCTATCAGAATAATAATTAATTCAACAATATCACAAAACAATCATGCTTCCACTCAAATTCAGACAATCAAACAATTATCACAGACAAGATTTAGCACCAGATAGAGACACACCTCGATAAAAATAGCCAACGTCAGTCGTAACACCTATCACGATAACGGTTGGAACCGAATAAGTTTCTACAGATTAATTTATTAAATAAATAATCTAATCTAACTAATTTGACAATTTCAAATGTCTAAATTTACTATCACTCACGCTCAACACAATTAATACGGGTCGGTTCAAAATTTGCAGGCAACAATGGTGGAGGAGGTAACTGAGTTCCATGTTCAAAGTTTCCTGCAAAATTTACAACGTCTGAATTTAAGTCCCAAATCAGAAATCCCAATTTAAGAAATAATAATTACGACTATTTAAAATTATTTTCAATCTCGAACGGGACCCGACAACAGATTCTGATTCTAATTCGAATATAATGGTATGTCGGTAAAATAAAATAGGACTGTCAGCGACAATGGTGCACTTGCAGTATTCCCCATGGATTGAAGATATCACGGTCGGCCCTGCCATGACCTTAAACGGCCGTCGGCGACGTCAACGGAAGAGGGCAGCAACCGACAGAAGCTTTCCACAGCCAAACAACGCCGTTCAACCACGACCCAGTCCATTCGAGTCTTCCCCGACGAGCGCTCGACCCTACCACTGCCATATACGACTGACGCGAGACTCCCACGGCGACGAGAGCGAGCCAAGGCTTACGGGTTTCACAAACCGATGTTGTTCAAAGACATCGATGGTCATGGGGAGATGTTGAGGTACATGAACGAAGATCGACGTCCTTAACTACGAGACCGGACTACGAATCAAAGATAAGGCGTGGAGCGGCACTGATACAAGGTTTCTACGCAAGGGTTTTGTTTTGTTTTTTTAGGAAATAACGGGCACAATCATTGTTTCAAGTCGCCGTAAGTTTTCAATCATTTTGTTTTTACCGCGATGGTGACTATAGCAGATACTATTGCGACCATAGTTATGGTGTTTATTCGATTAAAATGGTGAGTAATCAAATCAAAATACCCTTAATCGAATTAATCGAATTTTTTTTAACTGTTAATCGAATTAAATTTTTTTTAAGTATTAACCGAACTGAATAAATTTTAATTAATTCGATTAATTTTTCAAATTAACCGATTTTTTTAGAATTTTAGAATTTAGTATTTTTTAGTTTAAAAAATAATAATTTACAATTAATTTAAATAATATCTAATTATAAATAATATCTAATTAATTTAATTCAAACATTTTATAATTAGTATTGAGATTATTTTAATTAATTAATATCGATTTGAGTTTTAAATGGATTGGACCTTAATAGAATTATATTTAAAGGTTAATTTAATTAATATAATTAATTAACCGATTTTAAAATGAATTAATCATTAATCGAATTTTAAAAAATCCTTAACCATTTTTTGACCGAATTAATTCGGTGGCCCGTAGCGGGCGTTATTACAAGTGTAGCGGAAGGTAGCGCTACTACAAAATCACGGGTACCGCGGTACTCTATTGTCACGCCCTTAGAACTTCGACGCCTCGGAACGTGCGGCCTTAGTCGCTTTCTTAGTGATCGCGGCTAAGTAAGCCTGAAAATATCCTAAGCAAGGATGCTTAGAACCTCGACGGAAGCTAGACAAGAGAACTAGCACAAGAAGGAAGATAAGAAAGCTTTGAGAGAAGAATGCTCTTATGATTTCTCAAAGTGAAGGAGTGAGTACAAATGAGGAGGGGAGGCCTCTATTTATAGCTAAAGCTCCCCTCAATGAACGGCTAAGATCTAATTACATCGACGGTCGAGATTAATCTTTACCTACCAAAAACAAGTAGGCATTATCTATACATATTTAAATGCCACCTAAGTCTTTGTGGCTTCTAGAAGGTCCAAAACACCACTTGGGTTGCTCTTCATGGGGTAACCTCGGTTGTGGGCACGTGGTCCGTGACATTCTCCCCCACTCGTTCTGGTGACGCCCTCGTCACTCGTCTGGCATGAAATTGATCTATTCGGGTTTTGAATTGCCAAAGTCCCTCGGCATGCTCCCAACTCCCCTTCGCACTCGGGTTGTCCCTTCCACAAAACGAAGTACTCATGCCTCGGGCGGTGTCCTGGTCGTCTAATAAATCTCTCCGCCTGTATATCTTGGATCTCCTTGTCATAGGAGATCGCTACTCCGACTGGCGCTCGGTGTGACTTGCCTCGATCTGGATCCTCGATATCCTGATGGTATGGTTTGAGCAGGCTAACATGGATGACGGGATACGCTCGAATGGTTGGAGGCAACTCCAATTTGTAGGCCATGGTGCCTACTCGCTTCACAACTCGAAAGGGACCCTCGTATCTTCGAACAAGCCCCTTGTGCACGTCCGCATGGCGAAAAACGTTGGCCAATTTTGCAAGGACAAGGTCGCCAACTTCAAAGTTCACGTCCCTCCGCTTTCGGTCAGCCCACTTCTTGGTCCGTTTTCCTGCCTTGTTCAAACAAGCTCGGGCTAAGTCGTGTTGCTCGTGCCACTCCTTGGCAACGTTGTGTGCTGATGGATTGGGCCTCTCATATTTGGTAACAACCGTGTTGGGTGTCAATGGTTGTTGCCCGGTCACGATCTCGAACGGACTTTGGTTTGTCGCCTCGCTCCGTTGCAAGTTGTAGGAAAATTGGGCCACATCTAACAGCTTTGGCCAGTCTCGTTGGTTGGCACTCACGTAGTGCCTCAAATAGATCTCTAACAGAGCATTCACTCGCTCAGTTTGCCCATCGGTTTGTGGATGAACTGCGGTGGAAAAGTTCAAGCTCGATCCCATCAGTTTGAACAACTCCGTCCAGAACCTCCCAGTGAACCGTGTGTCCCGGTCACTAATGATGGTTTTCGGCATTCCCCAGTACTTCACCACGTGCTTAAGGAAAATTCGAGCGGCTTCTACAGCTGGACACACCTTAGATGTGGGTATGAACGTCGCATACTTCGAAAACCTATCAACCACAACCATGATACTTGAAAGTCCATCAGTTTTGGGCAAACCAATTATAAAATCCATGGAAATACTCTCCCATGGGCGCTCGGGAATGGGCAACGGTTGTAGCAGTCCTGCCGGTTTCTTTGCCTCAATCTTGTCTTGTTGGCATACAAGACAAGTCTTCACATAGGCCTGCACATCTTCAGCCATGTGCGGCCAATAGTATTGCTCCGAAAGTAGGGCCATAGTCCGATCAACTCCCGGGTGTCCCGCCCATTTAGAATCATGGCATTCCTTTATGAGCTCCTTGCGTAACTTCCCATATCGAGGCACAAAGAGACGATGGCCTCGGTGGTACAGCAATTCTTCTTCGAGCCAAAACTCTCGGGTTCGCCCCTCCTTGGCTCCCTCGATGATTCGTTCAGCCACAGGATCATCGGGTAATCCTTCCTTGATTCTCTCGAGGAGAGTACCTTCCACAGTCTCGATGGCATACCTCCGGCTTAAGCCATCTGCAACACAGTTCACCTTCCCGGGCTTGTACTCCAAGGAAAAGTCGAACTCGGCAAGAAACTCTTGCCAACGAGCTTGCTTGGGAGAAAGCTTCTTCTGGGTGAGGAAGTAACTGTTGGCAACATTGTCCGTGAACACCACGAACTTGGACCCAAGCAAGTAATGTCGCCATGTGCGTAAGCAGTGTACAACTGCCGTAATCTCCTTCTCATGAACCGAGTACCTCTTCTCGATCTCGTTGAGCTTCCGGCTCTCGTATGCAACCGGATATCCCTCTTGCATGAGGACTCCACCAATGGCAACATCAGATGCATCAGTGAAGACTACAAAAGGCTTGGTGTAGTCTGGCAACACCAACACGGGCTCATTCACCATGGCATCCTTGAGCTTTTTAAAAGCATCTTGACATTTCGTGCTCCATTCCCACACCTTGTCCTTCTTGAGTAGCTCAGTCAAAGGTGTTGCGATCTTGGAATAGCCCTTCACGAACCGTCGGTAGTAGTTGGCTAACCCCAAGAATGCTCGTAATTCAGTTACCTTGGTGGGTGGCTTCCACTCATCAATCGCCTGGATCTTGTCTTTGTCCATCTGGAGCTTGCCTCCTCCAACGACATGGCCTAGGAATGGCACCTCCTTCTGAGCGAACGAGCACTTTTCCTCTTTAACATAGAGCTCGTTATCTCGTAAGACTTGGAACACTCTTCTCAAATGTTCGATGTGTTCCTCTAAGGTCTTACTGTACACCACAATATCGTCAAGGTAAACTACAACGAAATGATCTAGAAAGGGTTGTAGTACCTTGTTCATCAATATGCAGAAGGTGGCCGGAGCATTCGTGAGGCCAAAGGGCATCACAAGGTATTCGTAAGAACCGTACCTGGTCACACAAGCTGTCTTCGGTTCATCTCATTCGGCTATCCTGACTTGGTAATAGCATGATCGTAAATCTAGCTTGGTGAACCACCTTGCACCACCAAGTTGATCGAACAAGTCCGCAATGAGGGGAATGGGATACTTGTTCTTTACCGTGAGCTTGTTTAAAGCTCGGTAATCTATGCACATCCGTAGAGAACCATCGTACTTCTTTTGAAATAGCACCGGTGCACCATAGGGGGACTTGGATGGTCGGATGTATCCGGCATCGAGGAGATCCTTCAATTGTTTACACATCTCCTCTAACTCGGGTGGAGCCATTCGGTAAGGGGCCCGAGCGGGTGGCTTTGCGTTCTCCACCAATTCAATCTTGTGATCCACATCCCTCTTTGGAGGTAACTTCTTGGGTAACTCAGCAGGCATCACATCTTTGATTTCCGCCAATACTTGTCCCACTTCTCTTGGGACTTCCTCGGTCATTGTGGGTTCAATTTCCACCAATGAAGCCACAAAGGTGGGTTCCTCCTTGCGCACCCCATTTGAGAATTAGATTGCGGACAACATCTTGGCCTAGATTCCAGGCCCTCGGCTCACTGGAACAATGCATTGTTGCTTTGGATCCAGGATGCACAAGCAATCGGCAAAAGGAACTGGGAAAGCATTTATTCGGTCCAAAAAACTTAACTCAAGAACAAAATCGAAGTCATCGAGAGGAATTACCTTGATGGCTTCCTTTCCGGACCAACCTCCGACGGTTAGCTCGATTCCCTTTGCGACCCCTGCAATTGGAACTTCCTCGGCATTCACGGTTTTGATGGATCCCGTTGCCTTCTCCACATGAAGGCCAAGTCTCTTGGCAATTTGTTCGGACATGAACAATTCTGAGGCACCTGTGTCCACCAGTGCGCTCATCTTTTGGCCTGCGACGGTGATGTCTACGTACATCAATCCCTTCTTCTTGCGGCCTTTCTTGACCTCCATGGTGCTAAGGATGGAGCCAAGTTTGAGAGTCTCACTCTCCACCCCATCATTCTCCTTGATGGCAGCAATTTTCACAAGTTGAGGACAATCTCGTTTCATATGATTTCCTCCACAAGAAAAGCATGATAATTCCCCCTTCTTCTCCCAAGGATTGAAGAGCTTTTTGGGTCGATCATTCGGCTTCCCATGATTTCCCGTTGGCTTGTGAAAGTTTCCTTTGGCCTTTTCTCCCCCACTATTACCTTTGGGTTTCGACCTGGATTGGAGAGAGTCGGTCCTTTTTACTTCAAACGGGGCAATAGCCTTGGCTGCATCTAATGCCTTGGAGAGTTCGGTCACTCCCCTCCTTTGGATCTCCATGTTGGCCCAACGTTGTAGTCCAACCATAAATGCAAAGTAACCTTCGGACTCGCCCAAGTCCGGGATTTGCATCTTGATCTCTGTGAAGTTTTTGACATACTCAAAGATGGATCGGTCATGCTTTAATTGTTTCAATTTTGCTCGAGCCTCGAGCACAGCATTCTTCGGATAGAAATGCT